GACCGCAATCAACTGATGTTTTCGTTCAACCTGACTTACGATATAGTACACACATCTTCGTACGTCGAGACTCGCATCGACGACCTTCCGAATCAGCATACGAAGGACCCTTCAAAGTTGTTCAACGCGAACCCAAGCACTATATAATCGATAAGAACGGAACCAACGATAGCATCAGCATCGATCGCCTCAAAGCAGCGTATTTAGAAGGAAATCCCATCCACCTCGGTTTCCCTTCGGTACAATTGAACGATACGGCTCCGACACTCATAATACCTCATCCGACAGCCAACACACACGATGATACTCCGACTGTATCTGAAAATAAACTTAAGACAACGCGTTCTGGAAGAAGAGTAAGATTTCCAGGACATTTGAACGATTAATGCACTTAAGATACTAGTTGACATTTTATATCATCTCGATTTTTGTTTGTACTATATGTAATATTTAAAAAACCAATTTTAATATGCTTATATTTTTATATTTTTATTTCAAAAAAACAAGACAAAACAAAAAAACCGTATCATAAAAATCCTTTTTTTACGCTATTATTTGTGCATGTGTTTATTTTTCATTTTTTCGCCCACTTTGTGTTTTTACACCAGTAAGAGTTTATTTCGACATGCACTTATTCTATTTTTCTTTTCCAGGATGGCTGAAAAAGACGATAAAAAGAACGATGAGGTTTACGAGGAACCAAAATTTTGATTGTATATTACTTTTTTACTATATTGTACTCCTTGATCCCTCATAGCAAGGAAAGACGATCGGACGCTGCTAAATCTAGCAAGCTATCAGAAGAGTGTTTACCGACGACAAAACTCGTTGGGTTTAAACTATTGGCTGGGCACGTCTTAGGGTCATCAATACCCCACTAGCGAGGAGTGATCTGTAGCGGTAAATAAATCCCCAATATAAATAGCTCTGTAAGTCTTCTACATTGGATGCTGGCCACATTAGTTCTAATGGATTCACCTAGCTGCATCCGCACCAGATCACGAGTGGGAACGTTGTGCTCAACATTCCCTCTAGTCGAAATAGAAGATCTGGAAAAACTGTCACCGTTCCACATAGTCCAGGTGTGGCTGTCCTGAGTGGTGACAAATGGACTTCATTAGTGAGAAAAAGAAATGGGAAGGAAAAGGCTGTGGGCAAAACGCAGCTGGTCAGCAAGGCATTGGAAGGGATGTTATCAGAAGAAAAATCCTCACTGCGCGACAAGACAGATCTCTCTGAGAGATCAGTTTTTTTTCATTAGATAAGAGAATCTTCATATAAAGAACCAAAGGCGAGATTTGAACACGATCTCAATCATATTAAGACATCATTAAGTAAACTACTCCCAGATACAGTTTCAGGAATTAGTATTTGTAAGCTTTATAGGATAGGAAAAAAGGTGGATTCCGAAAGTCCTCAGAAAAACCGCCTCCTAAAGATTAAATTCAACACGGTGGAAGAAAGGAACCTGATTCTAAGTAGCTCACGTAAACTGATTGGATCCGGAATATATGTCCGTGAGGATCTCAGCCTAACTGACCGTATTAAGAGACGAGCTTCAGAAGCTGAAATAAATGAGCGTCGCCGAAACGGAGAACGAAACCTCGTTCTTAAGGGTTTTCAAGTTGTAAAAGTTGGGGGAAAAACGATCCCCAAGCCACTCTGGGCGGCAAGGAAAAGCTCTCCACAGACTTAAAGGTATGCTACACAAATGCTCGCAGCATACTAAATAAAATGGTGGAGCTCAAGTCAGTGGTGGATAAAGAAAAACCAGACGTTATTGGTGTCTCAGAAACTCGGTTAACGTCAGAAGTATTAGATAGTAGAATCCAGTTGACTGATTTCATAACCAGTAGGGCTGATAGATTAAATCGAAGGGGAGGCGGGGTTATTCTGTACACGAAAAGTACCCTAACCATAAGATTAGCTGAGACAGTAGCACATGTTTCAGGGACATGTGAACTGGTGAGATGTAAGTTGAATGCCAACGGCAAGATATTGAAGTAGTTGTAGTATATCACAGTCCAGAATGTGTAGCAGATGATTTTATCCTAAGTAAACTTAACTCCTGATGTAACAACGGTAAAAGCCTTGTAGTAGGCGACTTTAATGCACCATATATAAACTGGGTTAACTTAGAAGTAGGGTCATCGATATCGTCGTTCGGCTGCAAACTGTTAGAAACCTCGGTTGGATTAGCATTATTCCAACACATTAGAGATCCCACAAGATACGACTTAAAAAACTCTTCTCTTTTAGATTTAGTCTTCACACACGGTGATGACGTTGGTCAAATGGCTTTTCTCCCACCACTTAGGAGAAGTGACCATACAGTCATCTTATTCAAATTCATAGCTGAGATTGCCTGTCAAACAGTTGCGCCGTCCCGTCCTAACATATGGAAGGCAGATATGCAGGCAATTAACTCCGCAGCATCGGCTGAGAACTGGGAAATTGACTCAAAGGCATCAGTACAAGAGGCATGGACTCTATTCAGGCAGTTATGCAATCGGGTAACTCAACCATACATACCCTAGACTGTCCCAAAGAAAAAAAAGGACGGACATCCCTGGATAGGGCGGGATATTCGACGTTTACTAAGACAAAGGAAGAAATGCTGGGATTTTGCCATCCGCCTTGGCACATCAGGTACGATGGAACGCTACAGATCGATAAGAAACGAGTGAATAACTAAAATTCGGGAAGCGCAAAGAAAATATGAAATGCAGCTGGCACAGTCTGCACTCGAGCAGCCCAAGAGGATATTCTCGTACATAAACTACAGAACAAAGATTCATCATTGGATTCCCAACCTAATCAAAGTAGGAAGTGAATCTGAAATGATAGAGGAAGATCAGGAAAAAGCTGAGGTTATGGCTGACTATTTTGGGCATTGTTCACTCAGGAACCCCCTCTAGAGAAAGAACCAGACCCAATTACAGAGTCAACAAACCAACTGCTCACCGTGGACTTCGACCAAAACGATGTGCTTAAGGCTCTTAGCATCCTAAACAGGAAGAAGTCAACAGGACCAGATGAACTGCACCCTAAAATCTTGAGACATATTGCCGAATATATCGCAGCCCCACTGACTGTGATATTCAAAATGTCACTTGACCAAGGTGTGTTACCTATGGACTGGAAGGGCGCAATCGTCACTCCCATACATAAAACAGGTCCACGAAAAGTTCCATCGAATTACAGACCCGTAAGCCTCACCAGTGTTGTGATTAAAATGCTGGGAAGAATAATCAAACGGACCATAACGGCATTTATGGAAACCAATAACTTGCTGAACATGGCACAACATGGTTTTAGAAAGGGTCTATCCTGTACAACGAACCTCCTTATAGCAAGGGAGTTCTGGATTTATGCGCTAGACAACGAAAACTCAGTGGATGTTGTCTACATAGTTTTCAGTAAGGCTTTTGACAAGGTGCCAACTAACAGACTGCTATTGAAGTTGGAAAACCTTGGTATTACCGGACCTCTTTTAAAATGGATTAAGGATTTCCTAGTAGGTCGTAGACAAAAAGTAAGAATAAATTCCAAGTGCTCCATCTAGAGACCAGTACTTAGTGGAATACCCCAAGGTTCCGTCCTAAGTCCTTTACTTTTTATAATGTACGTTAATGATCTTACAAGTATAGTACAGTCTCCAATGTTATTATACGCTGACGATGTAAAAATTTGGCGAGTAATAACTGGGGATAAAGACGCATTTACTCTTCAGGCGGACTTAAATAATATGACAAACTGGTCTAAAGAGTGGCTGATGCCTATCAACGCGGAAAAGTGTGTCTACATGCACTTGGGGGATTCAAAGGTTAATAAGTACAACATAGGGGATGTGTCATTACCCGTAGTCCGGTATCATAAGGATCTAGGGGTGACAGTGAGTAATGATCTTAAGACGACGGCCCATTGCCTGGAGGTCGCAGCCAAGGGGTTTCGAACCCCCTGGGCTTTAAAAAGGACATTCACTAAGTTAGATACTATCATGTTCACCACAGTACTCACATCCTCAGTGAGAACTAAGCTGGAGAACTGCGTTCAGGCTGCAAGCCCCTGCTCAAAAGGTGACTCGGACATGCTAGAAAAAGTACAGAGGGCAGCTTCCCGTGCAATTCCGGAACTCCGGGGTTTTTCATACAAAGAGCGGCTTGAAAAACTGGACTTCTTTACTCTGTCCTATCGCAGACTAAGGGGAGATCTAATATTTATGTACAGAACACTGATAAATGGTTCTGAACCTATTTTATTCTCTCTTTTTCTTCCCACTAGATCGGGACACCTCAGAGGACATAGCAGGCGAGTAGAAAAGCCAAGAACGAACAAAATACCCGTGGCATACAGGTTTTCACACCGAGTCATCAATACTTGGAACTTGCTTCCTGAAGCAGTGGTGTTTGCACTTTCAATTGACTCTTTCAAGAGAAGGCTGGACACCCACAGAAGCATACTAGAAGAGGAATAACATAGGCCGTTGGCCTTCTGTCCTTACTACACAAATATGAATCAATGAAATGACTTAATCCAGTTCACTAACTACGGTGAAAAAATCAGTGAAACTGAGAGTCATTTGACCGCGTAATATATAATTCAGGATTTGGTCGAAAGAAAAATTTTGTAGATTTCCTTCTGCCTTCTGTCCTTACTACACAAATATGAATCAATGAAATGACTTAATCCAGTTCACTAACTACGGTGAAAAAATCAGTGAAACTGAGAGTCATTTGACCGCGTTGTGTATAATTCAGGATTTGGTCGAATGAAAAATTTTGTAGATTCCCATAATGAAAAGTGATCGTTACTCTAGTGTATTGTCTATTGAAAGATTTTATTGAGCGCCGAAAACTACAAAAGCGGTACTGTGGTGGTGTGTTTCGCACTTCACAGTTCTTCAGCTCGATGTGGCTCTAGACTAATTCACTCTTAATATTTCTATATCCCATAGAAGAGCTGTTCGAAGTTGTCTGTGAGGTTAAGTTAGTATTGTCATGAATGCTTGTCGGAAGAAGGGTCGTTTATCCTTCTTCATACGAGCTGAAATCGAACCGAAAAATCGTTCAGGCGTAAACTCGCTGCAGTATGATCCGTGTACAGACAGACTGTTCACTGCTGGGCGGGATTCCATTATCAGGGTTTGGAACACTAAAAGGCAATCGGTATGCTTTGCAATTCTGTAACATAATTTTATCATATTTGTGGTTTAATTTAGGATCCTCTTGTGCATACCATGGAACATCATGCTGACTGGGTTACAGACATTGTACTCTGTTGTGGTGGCAAAAATCGTACGTTACAAGCTTTTGTTTCTATTTGTATGTAAATCTGTGATATTTGTGTAGTCACTATAGTGAGACTATGACTTCTGTAACGATTGACTGACGTTAAAGTGGCCTTGAGAATGTTCATTTACTTGCTAGAGCTATGCGAGTGTTACAAACATATGTGAAGAATAAGGATCATGATCTGCAGTTGATGGTTAAGATTAGGAGTTAAATTTAAAGTTTTCATCACGAACCGACATAAGCTAAAATCTCAAAACGCCCTTTAACCGGATGGATGAATAAATTTCGCTCCAAAATCCAAGACTTGTTCTAAACGTGATTGGTTCATCCATAAATTATAGTCTCACCGATATTCATGAGTGTTCATTTAGGATATCCATTATGTACAAGAAGTCCTAGTGGTGTTTATTTCGCAACTCTCCTGTCAGCGTTTGTCGTTTATTTTATTACGGAAATTTTTTTTGCTTACTTATTGAGGTGTGTTTAGATTCTTGCTCGTGGAGATGATATACAGGTGTTTTGCTTTATTTTTGTTCAAGCTGACCGATTTCTAGTTGTACACGTATGAAACCTCGTCTGCATGATAATCTTTACTAAAACTAGACCTGAGTTTCTCGCCCTTCAAATTGACTTATAATTAGTCTGTCCATAAACCAACATATTAATAGGGCTGACCTTGGTCATGTTCACAATAATCACATTTTTCACCAAACGAAATACCCACTAACATATGTGGCTCGTCTACAATTCATGGACGGACCAATCATGTTTAAGATAGCAGGTCTTGAATTTCGACCCAAAATTCATCAACATGTATGGCTAAATAGCATTTAACCATTAAAGCTTATGTCAATTCGTAACGTAAACCCTAAATCTGATGGCATACATTAATACATAACTAATTTAACCCTACTAAGGAGGTAGACACTTTCCATGTCACTTTGGCGTCGCCCAAAGGTCGTCCATAAATCAGTCTCACTGTACAAGTCTCGATGCAAAGACTAACCAGCAATTCAAAATGTGAGTGAATTAGTACTGATTTGGGATGTAAAAGTCAAAAACCTGATGTATAATCGATAATAGTATGTTAATGATAGTGATAACCCAGAACATGCCAGTATATGGAGTTCTTCAGTACGTTCTACACGGGAGTTTATTATTTTATTTATTTATTTATTTGAACACAATTATTGGTACAAGGGGACACCAGATATATATGCGCCTCACAGGCACCAGATATATATGCACGAGAGTGTGTTAGACAACCCAGTCCCGTAGTTATTGTTTATCGTATCAGATTGGTTTCAAACTTTTCATTCATTTCTTATATTCTACAAATCGTTCTTTATGGATTCGTTCAAACATTAGTCCTTATGACAGTTGTTTGTAGTACACTGACTTTAGAAATTTCGCAACAGAAGGTAAATAAATCTACATTATATGGTTAGTTGAGCTCATTGAAATAGATGTTATGCGCTCTACTGGTTGTGCAGTGTATTGTTTGTAGTCTTTACAGAATCACTGTCTTGTCCTAAAATCTTTGGAAATCCCGTTTCCTGTATAAGAAAGTCTTCTTCGACGTTCATTAAATGTTTTGCGAACTCAGCGATTCTAATTTAAACAGGTTGCCTTGATTTGCTTTCCAACTTTAAGAGTGGCACTGCTAATGAAAGAGGTTTTTCAGCTCTTACTAAGCTGTAGCTCGTTACTGTAACATTTTTTCCCAATAATATTTACATCTTATCCACATAGTCGTTTGTATTGGCTTGTTTCAGAGCAGCTTTGTAGTATACGTAATAGGTTGCCTTAACTAACTTAGACTTTACAGGGCATATATAGTTGGGGAACAAAGTTTTTCGAGTTACTTTCGAAATTTGTTTTACTGAAATCTATGGACCATTTTCTTTGATGATATCCCTTAGTTTTTTTCATTCTCTGTGGAGATAAACTAGTGCTACTCAAAGCTGAACAGAAGTATTAATTTAATTTTCATAGTAGTCGACTTTTAGTTACTAAGTGTCAAGTTCGAATCACACTTCATCTACTTTAGTTTACGCCTGCCGGATAGTGTCACATAAAAAATTGCTGAAAACCTAATATATCAACGTAAATCTACTTGTCTGATAATGTGATCCTTACGGTATCATTGAATTCGTTGATGAGCTTTGAGTAAGTGGTAATATATTTCGGCTTCAAGGTTCATACAGTTATTTCTCCGATTTTTCCTTTTTATCTCCTATCATCTTTGTTTGTCCCCGTACTACAGTTTTTGAATAGACAAGTTCTTCCACTACACATAATATTATGATTATAATTCAGACACTAAGTCAGATAAAGGTAATTACTTAAATAAAACCCTTTATATGCTTTTCATCTGTCTCGAATTAACAAAATGCTTTTGTATGCATACTTATCCGGATCATTTGTTTATTTTTAGTCATATCTGCCTCAAATGATACGACAGTGAAGGTTTGGAATGCTACAAAAGGATTTTGTATGTCTACTCTGGGTACACACAAAGACTATGTTCGAGTGCTTGCCTACGCCCAACATCGTGAGGAAGTTGCTAGTGCTGGTCTAGATGGCGCAATATTTTTGTGGGATATAAGAACACTTACAGCACTTACACCAACTAATAATACAGTTGAAAGTAAGTATCACAACATACATCATGCCACTAAGTCATACTTCGATTGAAACTTGATAAACTTTAAGACTGTTATGCCTTACCAGTCGTAAACTAATGGCTAGTATTAATAACAATCATTATTACTTTTTTCTTCACTAGTGGAGTGAATAAAAAACTACGTGGAAGTTTGTTTATTGGCCATAATATGAATTAGATATTTCATGATAATCTGCTAGTGAATAGTTTGTCCAAAAGTTAGCATCATTCACTTAAGCATGGAAAAGTACTAACTACCGCAAGTAATACTCTGTCATTGTTGCTAAGCTGTGAGAAGAATAGCTCAGGATCTGGTTGCTATCGACGTTTCTTAAACGTAAATTACCCATTTAGTATACTATGGTGTTTCCTTAGTTGTTTCAATTCACATTCCAATCCAGCCCTAAACTTTATTTTATTCATACTTTTTCGCTAAATGCTTAAGTAGTATTCCCCCTTGTATTGACGCACTATTTCAAGTCCTATTTTCAGATGCCGAAAACAATTAGCATGTATAGTTTAATTATGCTTTTGATCATTTTAGCATATACATCGTGAAGAAAAGAGTGACTGAGTTAAATCGTATCAACCTCATTTAATTTTTTTATAAAATGGGCATTTTTGTTTGTTTGTAACGACGCACCTTGGATTTATTCCGGTTTTTAAATTTTCGTGTACAATCCACTTCCTTGTTTCTATCATTTCGCTCCCAGTAACCTTCTAATTTCAAATTTATATATTTACTAACCCGACTTTTCTAGTAGATAATTACTCCCAAAAGTTTCCACAAAGGGTAGACTGACTGCTAGTGTCTCTGGTTCACTTAGCTTAATCCATCTGTCTTCTAACAGTTTTTTTTCTGAGTTTTGCATCTAACTGACAAAACCTTTTGGCTTGGAGTCCAACTTATACACGAGTATTTGCAGATTACTTTCTGTTTGAAAGTGCGTTTTTTCACATTGCTGTCTCCTCTTCCTATATTTTTCACGTCTGTTTTATTTAAGCTCGTCCACTGACAACAAATGACGAAAGTACATATAGCTTAGCTATGAATCCATCTGGGACAGTCATAGTAGCTGGTGGTCCTTATAAAAGAATATGGGTATGGGATCCTAGATCACGTAGTAAACCTTTTGACTTACGAAGTCATACTGATAGTATACGTGCACTTGCTGTTCGACCAAATGGTGAAGAGGTAAGTTATAACTTCTCATGTCACTAGTTTCTAAAAAAACTGATCGTTTATTTTAATGTATATTAGGCACTGAAATGTTTTGATAGTCTAATTACCTGCAATAGTTTTAATGTATAAAACTGTTTAATTATTTGTTCGTGATCATTAACGTTAAGTAAAACTTTAACTGTGAAGATAAAATCTAATACTGTGTATGAGGGAGGAAAAGGCACTTTTAGAATGGATCCCTGTTAACAGTCGCCCATGTACTGTTCGGCGAAACGGCCCCGTAAGAACTCGCAAGGATAGGGGCATGCGTCGTTGCCTTTTCGTCATTTCTGCCTACGCCTCCACTGACTGCACCCCGAATAAAGTGAAAGATGAATTCTACAGAATGCTTTCTGAACTTCTTCAAAAAGCCAAACACTCATAGTACTCATAGTAGGTGGCTCTAATGCCCAAATAGGTTGATTAAACCAGAAAGACATTTAGTTGGGTATTTTAGTATTCCGGCTCAGCGAACACATAACGGTGATCGTCTGCTGCAAATGTGCTCAGTCTCATCATAGACCTACTTCTGGAAATAACGTTCTCGTAGAATGAATTTTCAGAAATTGATCTCCTACCAGTAGGTCCACTTATTAACTTAGAATACGTAGATGACAGTCCTGTTTGGTGAAGACGCTAATAAAATACTGAGTCTTTTGGTAGCATCGAGCAATAATGCCATGGTGTTTGGGATGCGTTTCTCCCCCTCTAAGTGCAAATTGCTGCTTCAGGACTACTCTGCGTTAACTAAGGACAGAGAGTGAAGTAGTCGAACGCGTCGACAGCCTCACTTATCCTGGAATTCTGATCAGCCCTAATGGGTTGGTGTCTGACGAAACACCTACACGGATTCAAAAAGCTCATCTGGCTTTTGCCAACTTGCGTTGTAATGAACGAGAACACGAGTGGAGACAACCAAATGCATTCGAATACAAAATTACAGAACGTCAGTAAAATCTGAGGACCATACAGTAAATACTTCATTTGCAAAATGTCAATCAATCATCTCAAACTTCACTGTTCCTTCATTTCCACAGCAATCATTCTCTTTTCTTCGATCTTCTTAACCTTCTGCCACCAGGCATTTCACTTTCTATTAGTGATATATACTACTTATATTTGTCGACATCAGTCGCGCACACCACAACGTCACCTATGACGAAGGTGAGATGCTCATCTGTCAATTAAAGGACGGGTATACTACGCAGCAGTTCATTCGTTTTTCTTTACGGATCAACCACTTATTACTGTGATATCTCCAAGACTTTAACAAAAATGTTTATGTTTGTTTCCCATTATTAAAATCATGCTTAACTTCACATGATAATTGTTTGCGAGTGGTGTCACTCTGATCAAACTTTCTTATATTCATTCAGATTATTAGTGGTAGTTCTGATGGAACAATTAAAATATGGTCACTTGGTATGCAACGATGTACAGATACCATTCGCACACACAGTGAAAGTGTATTTACATTACAGGTAGGTAATTGAATTACTCTTCTTCTCTAAGTTTGTCAATAATTCGCACTCGTTTCTTGACTTTTTTCAATTATTTTATCGTGATTTATTTCTTACGATTTCTTAGCAGTTGTAGTAGCATACTAGAATATTCATTTAAATAGCGACATATTACTATAGAATGGTTTTGTTGCTATAAAGAAGAATTAAAGTCAAGTTATCGTATTGGTGTCACCTTTGACAACTTTAATTCCACATTTTTTATTGATGCAATAGCTTGAGTCATTACATTTCTTCCAGCTAAAACCACATATTAAGTTTCTTGTTGCGTCACTTAGCGTATTGATGACTACTACTGTAGTGGACACTACTCACAAGGATGTTCTTAAGTTGTGTATAGTGAAATGTGGTATTGAAGTTGCAACAATTGCCGGACAAAGTGAAGAGTTTCAATGCATCGGAAGCACAGCGTTGGTAGAACACTTGGAGGCCACTGTTGAAGACAGTTCAGATTACAGAACACCGGGTAGTGCAAATGAACGATTGAAGGTTATATGTACCTATTATGTAAATACTTTGTAACCCCTTGCAATAAATACACATTCCTCCTGCCTATTAATGTGTTTTACTCTATTACTACAATTCTTCATGAGTGGCAGACATCAATATTGACGTTGATTTTGTATCATGGTAGTTGTACATTGTCACCTATTTTCTAATAGACTCGGTTGTTAAATATATCGTTAGTTGTAGGTATTTGTACAACTATTACAAATGCCGGATAATCGGCGACTAAATGATTTATGTGGTGGACTTATAAGCATCGAATTGTATCGATTTTGAATTCCATTCCACCTTTTTCGATCTTAGAATTTGGATGCATGAATTTGTACTAGATTATTGGATTGTATTGAAGTTTAAAATTTATCGAAGAAACCAATTGACCTGGTTTTGCCTTTTATAACCCACTTAGTCTCTTGCTGTTTGCTTACAGTTTTTTTGATAGTGATATTATTCAATAAGGTTGTGAACTCATTTAGATCTTTTTGTCTATATTTAAGTAGTAAATGGTTTTATCTTTCACAGTGAGACTGGTAAGATAAGTTTTGCCCAAAGGTTGCAAGTAAAACCCACTAAAGAAATCGATGAACATTTTAACGCTCATATTTTTTTTTATCCTTACTATCTGAAACTAAATATATACCATCACTATGTTAAACCGTTTATTTTGTTTAAAATACATAACTTTCAATTGTTAGGTTAAAATTGATCTTAAGTACTGTTAGTGGTGTGAGGGGAGTTACCACTTTCCTGTTATTTACACCGTGGAAGACCACTTCTTCATAAGGTAGGTAACTGACAAGGAGTTGATGATGGTCCTTATGATCTGGGAGTGTGGCTACAAAGTTCAAAGGAAAACTGGTTGATGGCGGTCATATGAGGTGTTTTTTAAGTAGTTTTAAATGTGTCAGATCTGTACTTTTAAGGCCTTACCGCCCCCAACGAAGATTCCTGGGCCCTGCATGACAACGTATGAATTAAATGAATGAACATTCTGACAAACATAGTTCGATTACGCCACCACGTTATGTATGTCCGACCATGACGTCAAGTTAGCACCTGCGGTCGAGAATTAGCAGATCTGAGTTAGTCCCATGAGCTAACCGTTAGCATCACTTGAAACTAAATGAAAGTCGTGCATTTGACTCCATATTTATTTAGACCACTTCTGTTATTTCAGTATTTCGCTAGGCAATTATGCTCAAGCCAATATATCAATAAATTGTCGGCAAATACACATTAAAATGCCAAAAATTTGTCCTATTCATGTTTTTAAAGTTTGATAACTGTATAAAATGTCTGTTAAATATCTTGGTAGAACATACCTTAGTTTTTTGCAACCATATGACTTTAAAATCGATGAGTCTCATACTAAAACGAAACACCTTTCCAGTGGTTCCTGGTTGTCAATAGTTCTCCGAGATCCCTCACCGATTTCAAATAATAAATCTGTGAACGTTAATTGATTGTGCTTTTTGCTTGGAAATTTAATATGATAGGTTCTTTTACATAATCGGTATGACTTAAAATTTCATTCGGTATGTATTGTGTTTAAAAACAACTGTTCTGAGTATTTGATAGCATTAACTTATTGATTCTAGGTGAATAACAATTGGTCAACTGTTTATTCCGCTGGTAAAGATCGTAAGATTTGGGCTACTGATTTGCATAATCCTGGTAATTCTACATTAATTGGCGAAGAGACGGATCCAGTCTTAAAGGTATTTGTTCTAAACATCGAAATTTTTTTTGTAAAATATCGATATTTCAGTTAGACAACTTCATGTTTCAATCAACTCATTGTTTATTATAAAGAAAAGAAAATGATGTTTTGTATAGTGAACAAAATCAGAGTACTCTTCATCATATTAACTATGGTAGATCAGTATCGTTGTAAACAATACTACGCCTTTTGTTACTGGATATAAATTGTTTGGGTTTTTTGAATAATTATATAACTCATTAGCTTCAAAATTTGTCATATATAACTCGAAATTGAAGTGATTATTGTCAGGTTGCCGGAAAATTATCTAGTAGTCGGGAGACATATCGAAAATATTTCGACTCGTCAACATTCTAACTGAAGAGTTGTCAACACTAGCAAATTTAGATTTATTTATTTTAACACATAGATAATGGTACAAGGAGGCACTAAATACATATGCGGCACACAAATCTCACTTGATTTGTGTGAGGGCTGTGACACTGCCCGGGTGCCCAAACTGAAACAGGTGGTTTTATTAGGGGACCACTCCCCTAACCTTTGACCTGAAAGTCTGATCCACAAAGCAGTGGAGCATCGTAGGGAGATGCAGTCCCATGGAAGCCGGTGACCAATAATTGGTTCATACGCCATTTGTTCCCGCAGGATACTGAAGCCCATGTGCACCATTGGTTTGGAATCCGGTTAGAGCTCCGGACATTCGCTTTTCGTCCTCTCATTTTCGTAAACAACACTCCCGCCAGGAAAAGGCAGTGAGTAGGACTTCCCTGGCAGAGGTTATATATGCGTGGCCATGTGAGAGCACTTGGAGAGGGAGAGCGGACTCTCCCCACTCTCGGCCGTACCAAGGCATTTTGGGGCAAATTTAGATTGTGTTTTCCCAAAGCAAGAAAATCAAAATCCCCCGAACTCCTATAATTAAGTTAACCGATAATGATTAACTCTGGAAAAATAAACCTGATAAATGGAATAGAACATATGTTTTTGGTTATTATGGAATATTATTCACCTATGATTTTTACATATGGATTGATTTTTGGCTTTCGTAATAAAACTTGATTTTATAGGCTTCTCAATTGTAATTAGATTTAAAGCATGTCTAAATAAAATGACAGTTTATAAATAGTTCAGCATTTTTGTGGCTGTAAATTTCTTGCATAATTTGTCTTTAAGAAGAAAAAAAATTAAAGTATTCAGACTGTGAATAATTATAATGAAATCAAATATATCACTTGTGTTCAACTTGTTGTTAGCGGAATCTAGATTGGATTAAAGCACGTTCCGTCTAGAATTATGTCGGGGCGCGGTGATTGGCTATTGATTTACCAATCAACGTTAGCGGATACTTAGAGAATACTCTAGAATATTCTGATGTAAAAACAATAAATATGCTAATGTTTTTCTTATTGTGCTTCTTACTTCTATCTACCCTTATTATTTGGAATATAATTTCGTTCCTGTTCAACCGTGTTCTAATTTGGGAACTTGTCGAGTGAATCGGTGTCCAAGAATATTAGGTAAATAAGACTGGCTGGGTCATAATGAGAGAAATTATAACAGTTGTTCATGGTAGCTTTCCATCACTTATTAGTTTGAAACTGCTCACTTTTAATGTAATCAATCTATTTCATTGAAAAGAACAATGCAACTATCAAATCAAGCGTTTTCCCTTCAACTTACGACGTTGTTTTCAACTTCTAACCACATTATAAAGAGAAGTTTCACGTCATTTTTAACCAGATTGTATGTGTATATCTGAATACAATCGTCCTACGTTTTTTTCACTGATGTTTTTTTAAGTTTCACAGAAATTGACAAATTAACTTATCTCAATTAGCGGTGTTTTAAATAATATAAAGAAAAATAGTTCATAATTTTAGTTTTTTGATCTTTCCATTGACATTTTAGAACTGCAGTTAGCTAGTCTCTTTTGGTATATGTGCATTCTGTGCGAGATATCTCAATTTTGGCACAAATCACAAGCATTTAAAGTAGAGATGGATGGTGGTCAGCAGTGGGATTCATAGCTTGTCAGCTGAACGTACTTGCAGGTACAACTCTGGGATGTAAATACATCCAACTGACGAGTCCCAAATAGGACAAAATGTGTTTCCTGGATTCTACTACTAGCTATTATCCATCTGTGCTTCCTAAAACAATCCATATTTTATCTTATCGTACATTTTTATATATTGCCTTGTCACTAGATATTTTTTTTATGGTTTATAGCAAATTACCATTATATATACATGATTCGGTTTGGGCATCTAGCACTATGGGATTTGAGTCGACCACTGTATCTCTGTGCTAATGTGGTGTGGCAACTCGAACTGATGTACATACGTACGAAGTTCTACGTTGTTACTGACTGACTGACTGACTGGTTTGGGCATCCGGGCAGTATCACAGCCCTCATACAAATCAAATGAGATTTGTGTGGCGCATATATATTTGGTGCCTCCTTGTACCAATATCTATGTGTTAAAATAAATAAATAAATACATGAATTATTTATTCTTGACTTGTAAAACTAACTAAATTCGTACACATTTTTTTCTCAAGTAAATGTTATGACATTTAAATATGTTTAACAAGTTTCCATGTTTCTAAAAAAATTTCTAGCTCCTATTACATGAAGGTAGAAGTCAGTCATTTTTATGGTCTGCAACATGTAATACAAATGTGTCACGTTGGGTAAGTTTAATAATAATAATAATAGTTCTATTGAATTCGAATTGGTTATATTAACCAATATTATTCATAAACTAAGTGATTTATTTATTCATGTAAATAGTTTGTTTAATCCTAATAATAAAATAGGTTTCGCTAACTTGCTTCACTTGTGGAGTAGGCGAGATATCTCTCTGCCAACTAGGTGACAAGTATACTGTACAATAGTTCGTTCTGTCTTACTTTATGATTGTGAAACGTTATCACTATAAAATAGAAGATATTTGTGAGCTACTATTATTTTATTACCGATGTATTCTAAACACTATACACAGTGCATTTCAGGACCATTGAATGAATAAACTTGATGTTAGATGCAGGGGTACTAGTGTTATGAATGAGAACATAAGTGGGGAACAACCAATCTATTTGAATACCAAATTACAGAATCTCTTGGTTGAATCTGAGAACCATACAGTAAATACGTCATTTGCAAAATGTCCATCAATTGTCTCAGACATTATTGTTCCTTCCTTTCCATACCAATCACTCTTTGTTCCCGTTCTCTTCTAATTGATCTTCTCAACCTTCTGCTGCCAGGCATTCTATTTCTGATTGGCTCCCAAATGCCTTCGTACTGCCGGGAGTGGATAGAGTCAACCCTCCCTTTCAAACTACTTTCACATGGCCACGTGCATACAACCACTGTCAAGGATGTCCTACTCACTGCCTTCTCATGGTGGGGGTGTTGTTTATGAAATTGAGTGGACGAAAAGAGAATGTCCGGAGCTTTAACCGGGTTGTTGGATATGGGAGATTTACCTAGGAGAGTTGGAAAACCCTCATTCCAAACCAATGGTACACATTAGCTTCAGGATCCTAAAGGAACAAATGGTGTATGAACCCATTGTGGGTCACCGGCTACCATGGGACTGCATTCCCTAAATTTGCTCCACTGCCTCGTGAATTAGACCTATAGGTCACGTGCTTCGGTTCGGGCACCTGTGTAGTATCCCAGCCCTCACAAAAATCGGATGATTTGTGTGGCGTATATCTATTTGGTGCCTTCTTGTACCAATGTTTATGTGTTTAAATCAAATCTGACTGGCGTTACATACTACTTATACCTGTTGACATTAGTAGCACACATCACACTAGACGAAGATAGAACATTCGTCGATAGGTTAGTAAATCTTTATCAACTGGAATTTTCGAAATATATATTATGTGTGGCCAACCACCTCGTACCTGGACACTCCGTTTGTTCCTTTCGGATCCTGAATCTCATTCCTACATTTACTTGTACTTTTATGAGAAATACGCATATATTAAAAGTATGCGTAAAACTGTATAAACGCAATCTATAAACGTAGTAAACATTTTAAAGGGACTGATGGATTCAATTTAATATCTATTTAGAAATTAAGTGGCATTATTTCAAAACATATTCGTTACATTACTCATTTTTTTCGCTTTCATCTAATGTTTATTGTATCCATTAACAAAGCATATTTTTCCTTTCATTTTATTTAGCTTATTAAACACCATGCTACTGGAATGTGTTCTCGACCAATTGTAGATCATGAACATTATTCATATCATTGTGAGAATAATACTGATATAGATCATGCTAGTACAGAGAAATCTATGCCAATGTCTAAATGCTCTGAATTTGTATCCAATCCAATTCCCGTTTCATTGCCGTCTAATGCTCATAATAATAATAATAGCAGTAATGCTCTTTCAGACGTTTTTACTCATGATCCTGATCACAGTTCCTTACCTATGGACAATAATAATGATAATAACAATAATGATAAACACAATTCTTCATTATCTTCAAAACCTGATTTTGTCATAAAAGGTAGGATTTTTTTTGCATTGACAAATTTTTTTTTTGATCAATGGGTTATGGATTACCTTGATTCTAATGGAATTCAGTACTCCAGTTAAGCATAGTATAAGTGGTCGGTTGATTTTTAAAAAGAAAAGATAGTAAACAGACAAATTATATCGGAATCATCTTGACTAAAATACACAAACTAATCATAAACACGTCGTAAGTTTTTGGGGTATGTTAGTCTTATTGTCTTCCAATTAGTCTTTATTTTCCCGCCATATACATGCTCTGTCTGCATTTTCATTATTTCAGGCATCCCTGTAAGCTCTCAGAAGTAGGCTATAATACTAATAATTCATCATCTAAACATCTGGTAATCTGAGAAGTAGTTAATGTGGAGCTACCACCTAGATCTTCATTCCGATTTCTCGTTGTTCTCTGTTTTTTTTTAATTAACAGATTCCGTAATTGTGTTTTTCAAAAAACTCTTATGTATGCTTGATTCATAACATTCAAACAATGTAGTCCTGTCACGTAAAGGCATTAATCGAGTGCATAGTTTTTTAAATACTCCAAGTGACTATATGGGAATAATGGGGATAAAGTTTTGTGTCTTTCAAAGTCAAAAGTATTGTCTTATATCTGTTCTTTGTCGCTATATAGTAGGATATTAGAACATGAAGCATATAAGCACACTGCTCATGTTTAACTTCAGTGTTAATAACTTTAATTAAATAGTGTCAATACATGTGGCTCGTGAGTATTTTTCTAAGCTTCATTAAACACTTTCAATTTATTAAATGGAGGTCGAGTGAACTCGTGTTATTTATGAGTGTTTTCTTCATCATTTAAATTGACAGTTAGTTGACTTTTGGAATACATGGTTCATCCATCTTGTTCAATGCGACGTGATGACGTCAGAAAGAGCTAGTGTACTAAAAACATCACGGTTTATTAACTGCATTTACACCACAGCAATAACTCACCAATCATTTATTATGTTAATAAATTTAGGTTCTTTCAATTTTGTTTCTTTTTACAATAAATGTAACTAAATCTGGTTTAAGCTTGTCATTGCAAGTTCGTAAAATAATACCTATTTAACCATAAAAAAAGAAAAGAATCTCTTTTGAATGAATTTATTATCAAGCTATATAATATATATATATATATCACCCCGACTCCCCAACCAATTGGTCACGATAGTCGCACGGACCCCAACTAAGTAGTCTGCATCTACCAACATGGCTGATAGCAGAAGTTGATAATGCCATGTTTTTGTTTGGCCACCCCTGACATCCTCCCAACCGTCTCCAACACTAGTTAGCCTTGCAAATCGTGTTAATCAGTGTTCAGGCATACGTAACACATGGCCCAATCATCTCAGTCGACGAAGATTCACAACCTCATCAACTGATTTACCATCATTTCCCAACACTGCTTCTAACCTCACTATTACCTACCCGATAATCCGAGCAGATACGAGCACACAACTTTTTTTCAGTAGTTGAGATCATGAGTCGATTGAAGCTAAACCACCATAGAAAACCTGGAAGAACTGGACGGTCGTTTCGTCCTGTTGTGAGACTCCTCAGTAGTGCGCATCCATGACCCCGCCTCTCGGGATTCGAACCCAGGACTTAGCAGTCTCATGCCAGGCGCTTAACCATTAGACCACTGAGCTGGCCGGCATCCAATGTTGTTAATGTCTAACTTCAACTAATCCACGAGATTGAGCGACACATCCATCATTGTCTTCAGTAAGTTACTATCACAACTGACCCGGTTGAACTCCGCTTGTCACTGCTTCTTATTAGAACTTCAAGAAATACCTCTTGAAGCCAGTCACTAGCGAGCATATGTTGATTAGTATTGTTATTATTCATATTACATAAACTAATATTATAACTTTTCTTCTACAACATCATCTCACTAACCTGATACTTTAACAAACATTTTCATATAGACAATTGTACAACCTAATAATAATAAAATTCGTTGGAAAGAGATCCCTTCACTGAACTTTATATAATTAAGTTCAATATGTCATCTTATTTTATAATAAGAATACAATCTCCTATTAAAGTGTAATAATATTATTATAGTAGTTTCAATGGTTAAGATCATGAGTCAGTTGAAGCGAAACCACCATGCAAAACCTGGAAGCATTGGGTGAACGTTTCGTCCTATTGTGGGACTCCTCAGCAGTGCGCATCCAATATTATTATACTAATTAAAGCTATTATTGAATATGTGTTTTTTCTGATAGTTTTGTGCAAACTTTTTGTTGTTTTATGATTTTTTTAAAAATATATGTATCTAGGTGGATCACCAATTGTACAGTTTCATATATGCCCTGAAAAACGTTTTATATTAACAAAAGATAATGAAGGTATAGTAGCTGTATATGATGTTTTAAAAGTAAGTATAATTCTTCATTTAAATTTAATCGAATAGTTTCATAGTATTTAGGCATTAAGTTAATGTAATACACATTAAAGTGAAAGAATGTATTTGTAAAAAATTTCCTTGATATAAAGCTTGAATCAGATTGTCAAGCGAAATATGTTGGATTTACTTCAAATTCATTCGCTGAGATTTTACAAATACATTCTTCCACTTTAAGTATAATTCTTCATTTATTGATTGTTCATTTTCCTAATTATGTGTATATTTAGTAAATGAATGAATGAATATTTATAATGTATGAATTTAATTGCTTTAACCGAGTTGGTGGATACGGAGAGTCCACCTAGGGGAGTTGGAAAACCCTTATTCCAAACCAGTGGTGTACATGGGCTCCAGTATCATGAAAGAACAAATGGCGTATGAACCAATTATTGGTCACCAGCTACCATGGGACTGCATCTCCTTATGTTGCTCCACTGCTTTGTGGATTAAACCTTCAGGTCGAAGGCTCCGGGTGTGGCTCCCTAAGAAAACCACTTGCTTCGGTCTGGGCACCCGTGCAGTATCACAGCCCTCTCACATATCAAGTGAGATTTTTGTGGCGCATAAATGTTATATAAGTAATATATTTCTAAGTTTATTTATTTATTTGAACACAGATATTGGTACATGGAGTCACCAGATTCATATGCGCCACACAGATCTCATTTGATATGTGTGTGGGCTGAGATACTATCCGAGTGTTCAGACTGAAACAGATGGTTTTCTTAGGAGACCAAACACGGAGCCTTTGATCTAAAGATCTGCTCCACAAGGCAGTGGGGCATCGTAAGGAGATGAAGTCCGATGGTAGCTGGTGACCAATAATTGGTTCATACTCCATTCGTTCCCTCAGGATACTGGAGCCCATATGCACGACTGATTTTGAATGAGGGTTTTCGAACTCCGCTAGATGGACTCTCCATATCCACCAACCCGGTTAAAGCTCCGAACATTCGCTTTTCGTCCTGTTAATTTCATAAAGAACAGTAATGCCGTGAGAAGGCAGTGAGTAAGACTTCCCTGGTAGTGGTTGTATACACGTGGTCATGTGAGATGATTTCGAGATCGAGAGCTGACTCTCTTTACTCTCGACCGTACGAGGGCATTTGGGAGCATTTCTAAGTCGTCTGATTACATATAGATGATATGAGAAAATATTTAATAACTATTCTATATTTCTGTATTATTTCTCAGTGCTATTATTAGAGGAGTAAATGTCGTTAAAATAAATGTAAGATACTAACATATCACTATTATATTTTAGTTTCATGTACCTAACTTAATGGTTGCTTTGATTGTCAGATGGGGCATCAGCCTCGTGACTTCCAAAGGAACTCGGCTTTCACCATGAGGCGTTATAACTCTTCTAAATGAAGACCTTATAACTCCCAAGGCAGAGTTTAAATAGTTTGAATATTTTTTTCTGGTTAGCGTTTGTTTTAGCGATTTAGTCTACTACGGGCTGTGGTCGCTAACCTCATGCCCAACCGTCCTCCTTTATCCGAGCCTGGGATCGGTAGTAGCCCCAGGGGGCTCCAGGCAGAGTTTTAGTTAGACAACTATTAAAATTTAGGTAACACTGAACTGTATTAGGATAGTAGGACCCAGGACAACGTATCTCATGGTGAGCACTTAATTTTAAGATCAGTGACTATCCAATTGTTTACATTTCTAACTTCTGTCGGTTCATGACAGTATTCAATCATTTTCTAAAACCATTTAGGGATAATCGTCATATACTGACGTGATTGAACTACACTCCTCATGGTTTTTACGAGAACTCCAGGGATTACTCCCAAAAGTTTACATTGCTAGGGAGTTCTATACTAGGAATAAACAGTCATCGAATGCTCCCTTATCTGTCCGTGATGTACATTAACTCGTTTAATTTATTTCCAATGTCTTAAACACAGCATGAAGGGAAGAAGAAATCAACTAAATATACCTAACCATTATTTCTGTATGTTCATATTATACATAATATCTAAGTACTATTATTGATTGATTTTTTGTTTCTTAAAATAATATTTTATTATATGTATAGGCATCAATGATTGAATGTTTAGGTGTTGTATCATTTGAAGAAGAAATTAAGAAACGTGAAAAACTTATTTATGTTCCAAATTGGTTTATAGTAGATTTAAAATGTGGAGTAAGTTGTTAATATGGATCATTGTTGTTATTATTCACATTTGTGTCAGCTATTTATACAACTCTATACATATATATATATAATCTCAAGTGAATCTATTTGAATATCAGTATGTGTTTTGATGCTTTTGAATAAAATAATTAGTGGTAATGTATAAAAATCCCGTGATTAAAAGATAACACTATATTTGTCTATGATCAATTACTACTATTTATGTTAATATAAACAATGCATCTGCTAAACTCAATTTGTGATATGTCTAAGGTGTTCATCATAATAAATTATCGGTTAAAGAAAAATCTCTTCTTGGTGTCACTAACTTCTAGTCTGAGCCATGTTGGGAGATGCAGACTACTTGGTTGAGGTCCGCGTGATTATCGTAACCAATGGTTGGAAACTCTTGGTGACATGGCTCAGAATCGATCACAATGGTGTCGGTGTATACACTCTTTGTCTTCCCTTAAACTATGAGATTAAAATCGCTTCATATCTTTCTTTCTACCAATTAATTCTTTCTTCCTGTACTATATCCTTATTGCAATCTTTCTTTTATATATTACCACCTCTAAATTAACTACTTTTATGAATCCAGTGTCCATCTTGTTGTGTTAATGAGGTATGGCAACTTGGACCGATGCATATGTGTGCCTGGTCTTACGTTGTAGCTGACTGACTTACTCTTCTTGGTGTAGTTATAATGAAATTATTCATAGCAACTTACAATAAACTATGTAATAGCCGGCAAAACAATTGTATCCGACAATTGAAACGAAAATTGAAAGCACAAAATATATAAGCTGTAATGAATCAACAAATACTCAATGCTTACACAAGAATTGAAAGTGAACATTAAAAATGTTTCTAAAAATATCCAATTACTGGACTGAATATTACCCACAGTAGTTTGAAAATTATTAATAATCATATTAGTTACTGAATATTAGTAAGTAACGTAATTTCCTTTTCTTATTTCTTGAACGATCCTTGCGATAAATATTGAGTGATTGCCAGTTAGATGTTAGCAGTTCAGGGATTGATATCTGAATAACGTATATTCTTTTCGATGCATATTACCAGCAACCACGATGTCTCTGATTAGACTCTTTGGTAACTTGTACAGCGAAATATAGTAGACATTTCACAAACGCGTGTGAATAGGTTATGAGACTAATAGACATAATGATGTGTTAAAACAAACAAAAGAACAGATAACTTGTTGAAATTTTCAGATGGCATGAACAGGTAGCGTGAATGTTAAATTTACACTCAAAATCTCACTGTATGTGTGATATGTTTAACAAAGTGGACGTTCCTTAACTTACGTGTTATTTGAATGAGATGCTTCTATTCGTATCTGTCTTTTATCTAATTCACATCTCTTTGTTCTAGTTCACTTTAATTCACTCTAAATTTTATAGGCTTACATTGTGTTGATTGTTCATCAAATATAACTATGATTAATCCCCATTCTTTCGCAACATATCAAAAAAATGGTTACCACACCTTTTCTCCTTTTAAAGCATTTAATCTTGTTTATTCTTTCAATTCAAAAGCCTATCTTCTAGTTTCTTATTCAAAAAAATTTTCCTCTTTTTTTTCTTTATAGATGCCAATTATTCATTTGGATGAAGGTGATTGTTTGTCAGCCTACATAAATGCTTCTGATGCTGGTCTATTAAGTGAATTCAATGATCCCAATTACTGTTATGATACTAAAAGTGAGATAATTCGTACACACACACACACACACAGTTAATTCATACTCTTTTGTTTTGAGTGTTGTTTTTTTATTATTTTCCCGTTGTTGATGTTAAGAACGTATTTTCATTCTGAGTTCATTATCTTAACATTTCCATTTAGTGACAAATTATCATAATGGTTGTTTAGCAGATAACAGTAGAATCCAGAACACGTGCATTAGGTTGTATTTACGACTAGTCAGCTTGATTGATTTACTGCACTGATACTATATTCCACTAAAAACTATTATTCAGTTTTAATAAAATCCATGATTTAAGCATAAGTTTAACTGGTTGTTGATCATAATAGATCACTAAGTTGTTTATGTTGTCTTTGAAATATTCCAACCAACACTATTGTATGCTATTCAGTACGGTTTATCAGTATCAAAGTGATATATGTTTTGCAATATTATAATAGAAATTACTCATATTTTATTTCAAATAACTCATTCATTCATTCATTTTCATTTATCTTTTCTATTATAATGTTTGATTGATTTCAGTTAATTACGGCTTTGTATTACTCAGATCATTATTTATTCGTCGGTTAACTACATCCTCAAGTAATACCAATACTAGTAATAATGGAAACAATATAGATAATGGTATGTTAATAATATGTGTTTATTCATATATGTGATTGTAACTGCATCCAATTATACTTCTTGAGTAAAAAACACTAATCTAAGTAAGCATGAATTACAATATTTTATTCATCTAATCCAGTACTTATATGTAATAGAGACTTACATAGTTACACCTGTTACCCTTCGTGGAGCATAGTCCACTGATCAAGATTTTTCAATAAACTCTGTCCTTGTATGTCTTCAAGTCGATACCATGTGGTATTCGTTCTTTTGATGTATAAATTTCCAATAAAAGTGAACCATAAGAATTTCTCTATAACAGCTTGTTCTGTCGACTTTGAATTCTGTTGGTTGTTATTGCAGACTCATATCTTATCATTGTACCCACATTTATTGTTTTCCCATTTGACCAGATTCTTTGCCTTAAATTTGTTTAGGATTTTTCTAATTGATTGATAAAATGATTAAATATGATTATTGATTTGTTACTAACTGACATCAGTAATAGACTTCTAAGAATTCTTTTATCTTCATTGAAATACCTGTGCCCAATATTTCAACGGTTTCCCAGTCATAAATAAGGTCAACAAGTGCCTACAAACAAAATAAATGGACAGACAGTTACAAGATATGTGTCAACAAATATCATTCATATTTGAAGTCCACAGAACAACTCGCTTGGGACTATATTGTTGTAGCTCACTTTTATCAGGCTAATTATTTTACCTAGAAGAACCTTGGAGCTTCACTGTTAAATTTTATCTGTATAGCCGGATCCAGCTCTCAATAGCTTTGTTAGAATTCACTTGTTTTTGAGAAATACTGTTGTAATCATGTTCTGGTTTGACGACGTAAACATTTGGCCTGATAGTTAATTAGGCGTCAATTCCATTAAAGAGTAAACAGCATCCTGTCGCTATACCATTCAATCATTTGTTTATCAAGTGACTTTTAATCATGTCTGTTCATACGTTTAAGATTTTGTGTATAAGTGTGTTATTTTGTTAGCAGGAAAAACCTATTCTACTGAACGGTTGTCTGATCTGATATCAGTTTGATTGGTGGTTCTTACGTTAATGATTCGGTCTAGTGCGTAGTCATTACTCTACTATATTTTATTATTACATAGTATCAATCAGTTCGGACATTTCATTCATTAATATATCAATCTGGAAAAGTCTTTTCATCACAGTGTTCAAGTTTAATTCATAACGTGTCCTCTATTTACCGTTTTGAGTTTACTAGTCTCAGCTTTCTATATCTGCTTCAAGTCAAAAATTGTTTGTTTTTCCTCCATTGACGATAGTTATTTCAAATTAATGTAAACTGCTACTGACATATCCAGTCAAAGTAATATGTGAGTCTAGACAGACAGCCTTGTGTATCACATATCTGGTTGTCTTTTTAATTGTCTGCCTATATTTACCTTAATTTAGTCAATATTGAGTTATAACAGCTACTTATTTCGATAATGTAATAAGACGAAGATTATCAGAACTATGTCATATATTATCGCGATACATTTCGAACAATCTGATCACAGATTACATACTTGGTAAGACCATTTATATATAAAAATAAACGGTCAACTAGACTGGAAATGGGGTAAGAGGAGACAAGGATAATAATAATAATAGTAAGAGTGAACATAATTTGAAACCTAATCACTCTGGCTTATAAGTCAATATTACCAGGGTAGATTTAAGGTGAGAACAAACTATTTTTGAATACACAATGGGGAGTTGAATTTTTGTATGGCTAAGGCTTCATTAATCATCAGTAATACGCCCTTTTACACTTTTATACAGCACCACAAAAACCAAGTTAAGGTCAATCAATTTCCAGTCTAGTTGACTTTTTATTTTTATATGTAAATGATCTTAACAAGCATATGTGTGATCAGATTGTTCGAAATGTATTGCGCGAATATATATCATCACATAGTTCTGATAATCTTCTTCTTATTATTACCCTATCGAAATTTATCAAAGGGACTAAATGCTTTGAGCTACTTATTTGCTTATTTCATCATTGACTTATGTTAGATTTTATTAACAAACGAATTAAAATATTTCAGATGATACAACTGGACTTGATTTCAGTATGTCCAATGGAAATTTATCCAGAGACGTTCTTCTACATGATATTTAGTTGTCTTAAATTCCTCAACCTGATATTATAAATACTAAAATGAGTTAAAACTTAATCAATTATAATAAGTTATCATAGTTTATCTGTATGACAAATTCATTTTTCTTCTTTTATTACATAAATAATTTACCTCTGATTGCTATGTATCCTCCTTCTCTCTGTGTCTCTCTCTCTTTCCTTAAACATAGTGCGCAACGATTTGAATGCAGATCAAATTTTAGAAATTCCTGGACATACACCAATTATTTTAAGGTATTTTTCACATTAGTTTAATAATTAATGATTCAATGATTATTTCTTATAGTGATGGAAGTGGTCGACCACTTGATCGATTTTTAGCTCGTGATGCTTCTTCATTTAGTGTACGATTAAGACGTTGTAATCCAGAACCGAAATGGATTATGGAAGTTGTAGAATCTGTGAGTGTTGTTTGTATTTTTTTAAAAGTTGTATAATTCTTGCTACACCTTTTTGATCTTTAAATGAGTATTTATTTATTGAATATGCATATATTCCGGTACGACTGAGTACCGAGAATAGTATGTGACACACAAATTAGAGTGAAACTATAATTTATGGATGATCTTTGAGCGACTCTAGACTGACCTTGAGAGTGTCCACTTAATAAGCAGGACAAATGAGGGTTATAAACCAGTTTTAGGAGTTAGAATTGTAATTTACAGTTGATGATTAAGGTTAAGAATTAGATTTCCGGTTTTCATCATAAACTGACATAAGCTATAATGCCAAAACTATTTATCCGAATGGATGAGTGAACTTCGCGCCGGGACCTGTTATCTTATGTGTGATTAGTTCTTCCATAAATTATAGTCTCGGCCAAATAAGGTAATATTATGAATAAATTGAGTATCAGAAGATAAAACAAATTAATAAATGCACAAGAATCGTATACAGTAGGAGATGCATTTCAGATTAAAGTACAACCAAAATTGTTGCCATTTAGTTAGGGAGGTTTCCCTCACTCTTATGAAAAGCGTACAAGAAAATTTGGGCAAGACCACCTGTAACTTCTATTCTGAGACATGTTTAATAACATCACAAACCACTGAGTTGTTTGATCTTTAGAAAGCCAACCGGGTAGTTATGGTAAATCGACTGTTACCAGTTGTATACAGCTTCATACCACAACTCCATGTGATTAATTACCTATCTACATTAATGTGGTCCAGTCCCACGATGTGGTAGTCTCTGCAATGACATTCATGAGACACATCCAAGTCGACAAAAGTCTCTGTTTCAAGTTAATAGCACCTGATGAACTGGCGTCACTGCATCCAGATTCACATTGTTGAACCTCAGTTAATTTAAAGGTTATTTCCACACATGCAAGCGTGTTTTACATAAAGTGGATACTAAATGTTCTTCAGTAGATTATCAACTGATTTGAGATAAAAATACCAAATTGAGAAATTGCGATTTAGCTAAATTTCATTATCTCACTAAGTTAAGAGATGTAAATCCTTGTTTTTGCCACATTCATTCAATTTTTTTAGTTCTTCAACTGTCTATAGAATATATATCTCTTAATTTTCTTATCTTATAAAGTAAATTATTGTTAATATCAGAAACGTATTTAAAAATCTTTTGTAAATGTTAAAAAAAACTCCCTAAAGGTTTGTATACGTTAACTAACCATCAAATGACGTTTCCCTGTATTGGTATATTCCCCATTATTATAGAATTCGTAACTCATCGTCTACAAGAGAAGGAGTACGAATCGAAATTAAAACCTTTGATATTTAATGTTTAACACGTAGACATTAATTGACAGGCTATGATATATTATAATAGTTATCTTTCCTTTTTTATCTCTTTACTTTGGTCGTTTTTTCTTCTCTATAGTGTAAACTACCTAAACCAGTACGTATAGCGTTTTGCCTTGTTCCTGGTGTTATCGAAGTAGACAGTCAAGGTCAACAGTAAGTAGTTTCTTTATTCTCATTTTAAAATGTTGTCTTATTGTTTTGTAGATTTGGTTTTTACTAGATGAAGTAATATTTTTTTGAGTTGTTCATGTTATTGAAGTGTTAACTGGTAGTGTGGTGCGTGTTACTTATATTGACATAAGTAGTATATGACACGAGTCAGGAATGTAATGTCTGGCGGCAGAAGATGGGGAAGATCAAGTAAGGAAGAGAAGGAATAGAAAGCAATTAGTATGGAAACGCAAGCCATGTACATTAGCTGTCCGCACTATAGGAGGCCATATGTTAGAAGTGTTGGGAGTATCTAACAGTATCGTAAAAGTGGGTGATGCTGAGATAAATTTTCCGTTCGTGGTAACCACAAGTTTATCGAGACCAAGACTGGCGCATCGTTCCTCCATACAAGACTACCAATGCATAATAAGACCTGGCCACAACAGAAATGGACGACAACAAGGTTAAGAAGAGAGAGGAGGGAGGCAATAAGGGACGTGGAAAAGTAACAAATATCAGACATAAAGAAGGCGGAACAACAACATTTTACTAGGTCCCCCACTGCGAAAGGTTTCCACGTTCTCCTCGTGGCTGCCATACATGAGCAAGGAAGGTGATTTCTTGCTTGTTCCTTGTATGGAGGAACGATGCGCCAGTCTTGGTCTCGATAAACTTGTGGTTACCACGAACGGAAAATTTATCTCAGCATCACCCACTTTTACGATACTGTTAGATACTCCCAACACTTCTAACATATGGCCTCCTATAGTGCGGACAGCTAATGTACATGGCTTGAGTCTCTTACATTGCTATTTGCCTATTAACGATACTGCTGCCCCTTTATCGATCAGACACACAAAATCTCGTTCACTTATGTTCGCTCTCGTATAAACTACCTCTATCTACTAACGCAACAACTCCCAGATTCCTAGGGTAGAAAGAACACATGTTATAACGTCTAAAATATCTGCGTCTCCGTCTTGTTGGACAGTTTATCTTCCAATGTCCTGTCCCTCCACAAGCGTAACATTTATCATTCTTTTCATGATTCACTCGTATTGCCGCAATCTCACGCTCCAGCTCCTCAGTCTTCTTCTCGACACTATTTATATCCTGCTTTCCAAACCCGACCGGAGCTACCGTTTCGTGTCATTAGCTGACGAGTCACCTTCGCCAGTTCACTGATATCCATAGGTTGCGCTGTGTTTACTAGTTTCAGCTGCTGGGAAACGGTGGCAGGCACACTCGATAATTTGCGACGCCAACAACTGTGCCTCTGACTCCTCATCCAGATTCGGCAGCGCACGGCGTAACAACCTGGTTAGCTCCACAACCAGCACCAGTGGGTCACCATCGACCGACAACCTCGCCAACCGGAACTTCTGCAGTGCTTCCTCCCTGTCCACTCCGCCATCACCCACTCCGTGACTGTCTCCCGTGTCGTTTTTCCGCCGGCACTGTCCAAGCTGTCATATACAGCCTTCGCCCTGCCTCTCAGCAGCGTCCCCAGAACCACCACCTTCGTCTTCGGCTCTTTTACTCCCACCAGCTCCGCCACGGCCTCAAACTCCTTCAGGAAGCTCACCATATCTCCGTCCTCAAATTCCTTCGGCCATGGAATCTTCATCCTTAGTGGAGGCAGCGACACCAAACCTAGTGAAGGAGAACACAGGTGAGGACAGCCGAATTATATTTAGCACAACATTACAGAGTTACTTGGTAAAATAGAAAAACCATACTATAATACGTAATTTGCAAAATATTCAATAATTGTCTCGGACTCCATTGTTCTTGCATTTCCGTACTAATTGCTTTCTATTCCTTCTCTTCCTTAATTGATCTTCCCCATCTTCTGCCGCCAGACATTACATTCCTGACTCGTGTCATATACTACTTATGTCAATATAAGTAACACACACCACGGTACCATTTAGATCAAGGTGTTCTAAGGTGTTAAGAATTTGATTTCCTCAAACGTCAGTAGAAATATAGAAAAAGAATTTACCTCGTCCTCACTTTTTTTTATTCATTCATTGTTATGAGGTTGGATTATGTTTACAAATTCACTACGTGGTGAGGTCAGCTAGTCATACAAACATTGTTTGCTTCGGTTCACGTTATTATACCATTATCAATACAGTGTAATAAATTATCACAAAAAGTAATAGAGTTGTAGAAAAAGTAAATGTAATAAAAAAGATTAGGTTTAAATAATTTGTGTTAAGATGAATAAATCGGAGTTCCTGAGAAGATTGTCAATATCATCCGGATCTCATACGACGGATTACAGTGCAAAGTCGTGCATGGAGGACAGCTGACAGATGCATTCCAAGTAAGGACCGGAGTCAGACAAGGCTGTCTACTCTCTCCCTTCCTCTTTCTTCTGGTGGTCGACTGGATTATGAAGACCTCGACATCTGAGGGGAACCACGGAATACAATGGACAGCTCAGAATCAATTAGACGATTTGGACTTCGCAGATGACCTAGCATTCGTATCCAATGCACATGAACAAATACAGATAAGGACAGCCAGTGTAGCAGCAGTCTCTGCATCAGTAGGCCTCAACATACACAAGGGCTAGACCAAGGTCCTCAAATACGACACGGAGAACACCAATCCAATCACTCTTGATGGCGAAGCTCTAGAAGATTTAGAATCCTTCACATACCTAGGAAGCATCATCGATGAACAAGGAGGTTCAGATGCAGACGTAAAGGCGACAATCGGCAAAGCAAGGGCCGCATTCCTACAATTGAAGAACATATGGAACTCAAAACAACTTTCAACCAATATCACAGTGACAATCTTCACTATGAACGTCAAGACAGTTCTGCCATACGGAGCTGAGACTTGGAGAACTACAACAACCACCATCAAGAAGGTTCAAGTATTTATAAATAGCTGTCTACGCAAGATACTCAACATCCATTGGCCGGATACCATCAGCAATAGCCTTCTGTGGGAGAGAACAAATCAGCTTCCAGCTGAAGAAGAAATTAGGAAAAGATGATGGAAATGGATAGGACATACATTACGCAAATCGTCAAACGGCATCACGAGGCAAGCCCTAACTTGGAATCCTGAAGGGAAGCAGAAAAGAGGAAGGACAAAGAACACATTACGTTGGAAAATAGAAGCAGGTATGGAAAGGATGAATAGGAACTGGAAGGAGCTGGAAAGGATTGTTTGGGACAGGATTGGATGACGAATGCTGGTGAGCGACTTATGCTCCTTCACGAGGAGTAACAGGCGTAAATAAGTAAGTAAGAGATGAATAAATGAATTCGTTGAGTAAAAGGTAGGAAATGATTTTGAATTTCAGGATCTATGGGTATATTCAGTCAGTCAGTAACAAAGTAGAACTTCGTACGTACGTACGTACGTACGTACATCAGTTCAAGTTGCCATACCACATTAGCACAGAGATGCAGTTATCGGTTCAAGTCCCGTAGAGGTAGAAAAATTATAAGCAGTAATCGGAAAAATTAGGGTTTGAAGATATCATTCAAAGGGTATAATCCAGTGAAATAAATTTGCGAAGAGAAAAAAGGAAAGGAGATGAAGAATTCAGAAGATTAGAATTAGGGAGAACACAAAGAATAGATGCACGTGCACCAGTTCAAACGATTTTGAGCCATGTCATTCAAGGTCATTAACCATCGGTTGCTATCTTTCCACAGATTCCAACCAGGTAGTGTTATGACCTTGAATCGATTTTTTACCCCGTTGATACTTGTTATGACTTGACCTTGATCTGTCTAGTCTAAATTATGACCTTGACACGTTAGGCTGAGCGGCTTAACCTTGAGTCTAATACGCGTGAGTTCGAGATGGGGTAGAGAGAACTATTCTAAAACCTGATTGGTTGGTAAGCACGCAAGTGAAAGAAGACAAGACAGTTGGAACACTGAACTTTGGATTCTCTGAATTCGGAATTAGTACAAAAATGTACATGAATAAATAAGTGGATATCCTGACCACGACGTACGATAATTTCGAAAAATACAGTTACACCCGAAACAGGGAATTAGGGTAGAAAATAAAGTGCAAAATATTATGTTTAAATTACAATATTTTCGGAGCAAAAAAAAGGTATGCTAGAACGAAAGCTCGTGTTACGTAGAATAAGATAGGGACAAAAATAAATATAAGTGTTTTACAGGGTTTGAATGAAATGCAATAACGTCCCAAGAAAATAGCTTTCGTAATTGTCTGGGCTTCTTAATTCTCCGTTCACAACAGGTAGTCTGCACCTACCAACATGGCACAGTTCACTTGTCATTCACTTCATGGATTTGTGCCATGTTTTGGTCTGGCCGTCTTTAACTTTCTTCCAACCTACTCCTATACCATAAAACATCGCACGTCGGGGCAGTAGGTGGTTGGGCATACGTAACACGTATCCCATCCATCTCAAATGATGAAGTTTCACTACTTCATCAATCGATTTGCCATCTTCACCTAGTACTCGTTTCCTAACAACTGCATAACCTACTCGGTGGTCATAGTATATACGAGCAATGCTTCGAAGACACCTATAATTGAGTACTAGTAACCTACGAATATCATCCACTGTTGCCGGTCATGTTTCACTTCCATAAGTTAGGAGGGAACGAACTGCTGCACAGTAAACCCGTCCATTGGTTGGTAGACAGATATCTCGCTTACGCCACAAATGACGTAAGTTGGCAAAAGCTAGTCGAGCCTTCTGTATCAGTGCTGAGATTTTGTTACTGTTGGGGCCGATATATCCCCAAACTCATATTTTGTAATTTTATCATATCGATTAAATTATCGATTAAATGTTTAAATATTTGAATGGCAGTCAGTTGATGGACTTATCGATTAAATTTTTAAATAGCAGACAATTGATGACTCATTGATTATTGTTTAAAAAATTTCCTATGACAAAATCGATATATATTTGTATAAATACGCTTGACTTGTATGCTTGATCTGATCTGCCTGACCTGACTTGGTATCTGCTGTTGCTTTTAGAATACACTTCTACGCCTTACCAAGACTTCTTTATCGAGTTAGCTGAGTCGAAGACAATGGACCAGAGTAGTCTATTGAGTTTCTGAATCCTGAGCTTTCGTTCCGTTCCGAATAAGTCGAATCAGTAGTATCCTCAAGGTTAACGAACCTAACAGTTACACACCAGACCACAAGGGCTGATGAGACTTCCAAGATAAGTGAAGCGGTCGACACGCTCGACTACTTCAATCCCTATTATTAGTTCGGTTGTCGATGCAACCCAATCCTGAAGCAACATTTTGCATTTCGAGGGGGAAAATCACATCTCGAACATACTTAGAATGTTGCTTAGAGTGGTCAGAAGACTCTGCATTTTGTTAGCGTTTTCACCAAATAGAACTATGTCATCAACATATTCTAAGTCAACAAGTGGATCTCCCGGTAAAAGTTTAACTCCTGGAAATTTAGATAAGGAAAGTGTTGTATCTAAAAGAATGTCTACGATAAAGTCATCAAGAATGGAAAGAGTGGACAGCCATGACGAACACAACTTGAAGTAATCAATTCTGATGACAGTTTGCCATAAGCTCTCACTCTACCAGTTGTGTTCATGTAGAGAGCCTTTATAAGGCTAATGTACTCCTTTCAGTGACAAACACTGCCACAGAACCTCGCGATCAACAGAGTTAAATGCCGCCTTAAGATCGAGAAATACTACGATTATAGGGCGTCTGAATGTGTGTCTATGTTCTAGGACCTGACGTAGTGTGAATATCTGTTCTATACAACCACGTCCAGGTCGGAAACCAGCCTGATTTTCTCTAGTCTTCTTCACTAAATATATTACCCTAAATCCTAAATAACCTATAGAGTTAAAATATATTTAATTCCATGGTTACTCTGAACGAATTATTTATCAATAATTAAATAGCACTGCACACTTTTGGTTCACTTATCTACTGATTACCACCAAATAGATCTTGAAATTGTTTTATCGTTTACAAAACTTGTTGTTAAATGCTATTATTGTTAATTTATTATCCAACATAAAAAGAAAGAAAGGAAATACAATCAACATAAGGACTGCTGTTTCATATAAGTATTTTTAATAATTGCTTCATTCAGTAAAATATTATAGATTTTCGAAAATTACATAATGCTTTTTATTTGTATTCACAAGTTCCTTACATAGTTAAGCACTATGCTATAAATTGTGACTCATATTGACTAATGTTGGGGGATACTAGATCCCCAGAAATCGCTTGGTAAACGTCTGATGTTTGTAATCTTGTTTCAATTTTTTGAATTTCTCATTTTCGTGCCAAACGCATCCACTTTTACCTTCAGTTTGTACTTCCCACCTGGAGAGTCTCAAATGTCATTGTTTCGTTTCCTCTTTGAGTACGCTATGTTTTGACGTTTTCCAAGGACATTTTTGTACTGTATATACACACATGAGTTGTGTGCTTCTTCGTTTGTGCTTCCAATCTGCTTCTGAAAATATACATTTCCCTCTGCTAAATCTGGTTTTCCCCCTCTAGTTAGCAGGGCTGGTGCGCAATGAATAGCCTAGCTTGTCCTTGTTGGGGACGATAGATCCCCAAACTCATATTTTTAAATTTTATCGCATCGATCAACTTATTGATTAAATGTTTAAATATTTGTATTGGGGTCAATTGATGAACTGATCGATTAAATGTTTGAATAGCAGTCAATAGATGAACTATCGATTCAATGGGCAAATAGGTCAATTTATGAACTCATTGATTAGTGTTTAAAAATTTTCTATGACAATATCGATTATATATATTATATATATACATATATTTTAAATTGTGCTTGCTTGCTTGCTCGCTCGCTTCTGGCTGTTGCAGAATATATTTTCCATACCAAGCCTGGACTTCTTCTTCTAGAAAGCGGGGCTGGGACGCGTCAATAGTTAGATCACTGGTCTTGGGTCACTGAGTATTGTTCTCGTTCGCAGTTTAAGTGAACTCGTGAAGGTTTTCAAACATAACAGTCCTGTTGTTGTGATCCGTTCATCGGTTTTAGGTAATAACATAATGTATTCAGACGGAGCAACTAATATTCCGCTTCTACATACACTTTGTAAGCTGATCACAATAACCCGAGTAAGTAAACTGTAGTGTAGGTGAAGGTCGTTTTGAACTTGTCTTACAGTTGTTAATATATTTAAATTCTTTAATTCAGTAAGTCATATTCTATGAATTGTATGTAGATGATTTTCTCACCACTTATTATTACACTATTGATTAACCAATGTACTTTGACTGTTCTTGACTAACTCAGGCGTGTTGTACCAATGAATTCATTAAAACGAGACTCATTAGCTGCTAATGATGTTTTATTAATACGTAAAGTTATGGAACATGTATTTCAACGTTTATATAAACTAGCGGATACATTAACCATGAATGGTACGTTATCTAGTCCACCATCACCTAGATCCACAAGTGAGTTGACTATCCCAGTGAATTTCTTTAATTTTATGGGAAGATATTTGGTTTTAGTGATTAATTGATCATATACTTATTCATGTACTTGACTTTAAACTACACTCTAAGTTTTATCACTAATGCTACTATTCGATTACCTAAATCAAAGCAGATAGATTGGTGATCGAATTGTTGATCTCATAAGTGAAAGAAATGGAATCGGCAAGGAGAAAAAAAGAATCCGAGGTGAATATTTATCTCCTTTTCAACTACGTCGTTTCAATCTAGCTTGAAGACGTCCTGTTATTACGGTTTTTCTGCATTCAATACGGCTTAGGCGTTCTTGTACATTGTGCAGTGCACATACTCTATAAGAAATGACAGTTGCATTTTAACCTTGTCTGCTGGTAGAGTATCAATGATACGTTATTTTTATATTCATCAATAAGTCGTTATCAGGTGTTATCTGATCTATTTTTGTTTGTTTGTTTCTCACTTGATACTTATGGAAATAAGCGGATGTCAGAGCAAGTGCTTCAACTGACCATAGTCAATGTTTACTTATTACTAGTTCCCAAGTGTCTTTCTTGACTTAATTTATTTACTGAAATGTTAGAATCACTCATTACAATTGTTTCACCTCAGCGCTCAGATTTTTGGTAGCGGTTTGACGACTTTCGTTAGGAATTGTCTCTTATTTCGTCTTCTTAGCAGTCGTTGGTGTTAGGAGTTTATCCAAAGACTACAAACATGGTAAATCTGTGGATTGTTCACTTCGGTCTTAATTAAACTCATTGATTATGCACACATCGATTATTCACTAATTTCATGATGGGAAAGTATCATACTTTTAGCCAACATTTATTCATATATATGTAGTATTATGTAGTTGTACATGAATAGTCGACCGGTGTATTTCTATTTTGTTACACTAATATTGTCAACTAACATCGTTACTTGTACACTTTTGTGATCTTATTTTCTTTGCTCACTTTTAAAAGGACAAAATGATGATACTGGTCAAGCTGTTCCGCCTAAATCATCATCTTATTGTGATACAACTTCCAATCCTCAAACGCCTGTAATGGCACCATTAAATCTTCCACCTGAAACATTACAAATTGATTTAGCTAGAATAATAGCGACAGCTTCATCAAATATTCCTCAGCCTGAGAATATTATTGAGATATGGTGTGGTGATCAGGTAAGTTAAATACTAGTTTTACTTTTTTCCAGGAATAGTTCTTTGATACTTGTATCGAAGTGTTTTAAGGCACCCAAATGCCCTAGTACGATCGACCTCGGGAAGAGTCAGCACTCCCTACCAAATTGCTTTCACAAGGCCACGCGTAAACAGCCCACTTGCCAGGGAAGTCCTACTCACTGTTTTCTCGTGGCTGGTTTGTTCCGAAAATGAAAGGACGAAGAACGGCGCCTTAACTCTGGTTCCAAACCAATACTGCACATTGGCTCCAGAATCCTAGCGGAACAAATGGCGTACGAACCAATTATTGGTCACCGGCCAAAATGGGACTTCATCTCCCTTACGTTACTCAACTGTCCTATGGATTAGACCATTAAGTCAAAGGCTCTGTGTGTGGCCCCTAAGAAAACCACCTGCTTCGATCTGGACACCCGGGTATTATCACAGGCCACACACTAAAATGAACAAGATCAGCAGCTTCATGTTTAATGGTTTCAAAGAGTGACCAAAATCATTAAAAACCATTTAATAGTTGAATTCATAAATGGATTTAATTTAGACGACCATTGAAAACCTGCAAACACTGGACGGTTGTTTCATCCTAGTGTGGGACTCCTCAACAATGCACACAGACGATCCCATCCGCGGGACTCGGTTACGCGATCTTTGCTCTCGTACGTGACACTTAATATCTAGAACTCTGAGCCTGTACCCAACAATGTTAACGTTTAGCTTTAATTGATAAATTATGTTGCGCAGACGCCCATCAATTGTCTGAAGTGGATAACTGTACTTCATGGCATGGATTAAACAAAACTGATAACAGCTCACTGGTCCAGAAGTTAGGCGTTCGCACGCGAAACCGGACGTCTTCAGTTCGAGTCCCACGTGTCGCATCGCAGATAATGAGTCCCATACTAGAACGAAAACACCGTCCAGTGCTTCTAGATTTTCAATCGAGATCCAGCCTAGATCGACTCATGAATTGACCTATTACAATAACTACAATCTCCACAAACTCTTATTCTGATGAAAGTAATTTCGAACAACATGTAATAGTGAACTAAGTTGTTTTCGATTAGATCCTCATCAGGCTTTACTTTAATGTACAGCAATATTTATATGCATATACGAAATTTCTAAACCAATCAAGGCAGTCTATAAGTCAATGATAACAGTGGAATAGATTACATAGTTAAATATAATAAGTGAAAAGTACAAATTGGTAGTGTGATGATAGGTGTACTAGTTGCGACAAGAATAACAAAGGCTTGAATCAATGTTTTATGATGGGAATTAGGTTAACGGTCAGAAAAAAACATTCACAAAAATTATACGATTACGTAATAAGAAATGTTCAGATAATTGGACCGCGAAGCGTATATTTGAGAAAAGAAAAGGGTGAGGAGTGAAGAAAAATAAAGCGAAGAAAGTATGGAAAATAATAGTAAATAAGGTCATTTATTAAGGCCAAAGGAGAGATAAAGGTGTTACAAATTTCTTTTGAACACAAAGACTTGGATTGTTGGCTGGAATTCCTATAGCTTCTGCTATATGTACGAGACGAGATTGAACCCCGTAAGGAAAACTAGTAAGAATACGATAAATTACTTTAAATGACCTATTTCTGTCTACCACATGACCACTATCGATCAAGTGTGATAGAACTGAGCTGCATATTGTCTTGACAATACCTTTTCCTATCCACGGAGAGAGGTGTTCACTAACTCTTTGGCTCAGTTGTCTGGTAGTGCACCCAATATAACTTTCTCCATAAGAGCAGCTGAATTCGTAGATACACATAGATGCGACATAACCAGGTGACTTATCCTTTAGTTGGGGAATCACCGTAGGTCGGGTCGAGTACGATAGACAGATATTAGCTGCATTAAACGTTCTCTTAACCACTCTGGTCAGTCTATCTTGTAACACATTACCAGCTACATCTTCATTGAATTGCAGCTTCATGAAGAGGGGTTTCTTACTGGCCATTGATGTCACTATTTTCGTGTTTATTACATGCAAGTGTTTCTTCAGGAAACCTTGTGGATAATCCATTTTGTTGGGGTGACCCAAAGCGCTTCGTGGACACATTCAAAAGAGCACTACTGAAAGGGGAAGGAGAGGGAACAAGTCAGGTAATTACGAAATTCTTAACAGCTTATAGAACTACGCCTAACCCTATTGTCCCAGATTGAAAATCCCCTGCTGAAGCGATGTTCGGGAGAAGCATCCGAACTACATTCGACGCCATGTTACCACCTAAACTAATGGATGGACGCAGAAAAAATCAGAATATTCGTAGTTTTAACGTCGGTGATAAAGTGCTCGTCAAATCATACATTGGGAAAAATCGTTGGGAACCGGGAGTCATTGAGAAGAGAATGGGGAATGTTTTATACAAAGTGCGTGGGACTTTCGGAATATGGATTAGACACATTCATCAAATACACAGAGAGAAAAAAACTCTAGACAGAGTAGATAGTCAATTGAGGCTTCCGCTAGATATAATTACAGATACTCCAATGACAGGAACCCCAACAGACACTCATAGGCGCTGGACACCAAGAAAGTCCGAACGCCGCAGGAAACCAGTTATAACGCTGCAAGTAGACCCGAAGAAGAAGTCTTACTTTTTGAAAGGGGGCAGGTGTTGGGGTGACCCAGAAAATTTCTCGCAAGGGTCAAGCAAGGATCAGGAAAACACTGAGAAGCGTTTCCTCCAATCAGCGTTCAATTTGCAAGACTTATCACATTTCAATCGACATATTATGCATGAGCTGTAGTTCCTTGTTTATTGTATCGGCTGAGCGTATCTTCCTAGCTCTATTCGCAAGATATTTGACTAGGTTTCTCTTATAATGAAAGGGTACAAAGCTCAAGAAATGTGTGTACTGGTTTGCTGAAGAACTTTTCCCATACACACTTCTGCTGATAGAACCATTTACGTGTGAAGAGGAACTTGATAACAGACTACATTTTCTTGACGTTTTGTAAAACAGAAAAGAAAATGGTTCTATCAGTAGAAGTGTGTATGGGAAAAGTTCTTCAGCAAACCAGTACACACATTTCTTGAGCTTTGTACCCTTTCATTATAAGAGAAACCTAGTCAAATATCTTGCGAATAGAGCTAGGAAGATACGCTCAGCCGATACAATAAACGAGGAACTACAGCTCATGCATAATATGTCGATTGAAATGTGATAAGTCTTGCAAATTGAACGCTGATTGGAGGAAACGCTTCTCAGTGTTTTCCTGATCCTTGCTTGACCCTTGCGAGAAATTTTCTGGGTCACTCCAACACCCCCACGCTTTCCAAAAGCAAGACTTCTTCTTCGGGTCTACTTGCAGCGTTATAACTGGTTTCCTGCGGCGTTCGGACTTTCTTGGTGTCCAGCGCCTATGAGTGTCTGTTGGGGTTCCTGTCATTGGAGTATCTGTAATTATATCTAGCGGAAGCCTCAATTGACTATCTACTCTGTCTAGAGTTTTTTTCTCTCTGTGTATTTGATGAATGTGTCTAATCCACATTCCGAAAGTCCCATGCACTTTGTATAAAACATTCCCCATTCTCTTCTCAATGACTCCCGGTTCCCAACGATTTTTCCCAATGTATGATTTGACGAGCACTTTATCACCGACGTTAAAACTACGAATATTCTGATTTTTTCTGCGTCCATCCATTAGTTTAGGTGGTAACATGGCGTCGAATGTAGTTCGGATGCTTCTCCCGAACATCGCTTCAGCAGGGGATTTTCAATCTGGGACAATAGGGTTAGGCGTAGTTCTATAAGCTGTTAAGAATTTCGTAATTACCTGACTTGTTCCCTCTCCTTCCCCTTTCAGTAGTGCTCTTTTGAATGTGTCCACGAAGCGCTTTGGGTCACCCCAACAAAATGGATTATCCACAAGGTTTCCTGAAGAAACACTTGCATGTAATAAACACGAAAATAGTGACATCAATGGCCAGTAAGAAACCCCTCTTCATGAAGCTGCAATTCAATGAAGATGTAGCTGGTAATGTGTTACAAGATAGACTGACCAGAGTGGTTAAGAGAACGTTTAATGCAGCTAATATCTGTCTATCGTACTCGACCCGACCTACGGTGATTCCCCAACTAAAGGATAAGTCACCTGGTTATGTCGCATCTATGTGTATCTACGAATTCAGCTGCTCTTATGGAGAAAGTTATATTGGGTGCACTACCAGACAACTGAGCCAAAGAGTTAGTGAACACCTCTCTCCGTGGATAGGAAAAGGTATTGTCAAGACAATATGCAGCTCAGTTCTATCACACTTGATCGATAGTGGTCATGTGGTAGACAGAAATAGGTCATTTAAAGTAATTTATCGTATTCTTACTAGTTTTCCTTACGGGGTTCAATCTCGTCTCGTACATATAGCAGAAGCTATAGGAATTCCAGCCAACAATCCAAGTCTTTGTGTTCAAAAGAAATTTGTAACACCTTTATCTCTCCTTTGGCCTTAATAAATGACCTTATTTACTATTATTTTCCATACTTTCTTCGCTTTATTTTTCTTCACTCCTCACCCTTTTCTTTTCTCAAATATACGCTTCGCGGTCCAATTATCTGAACATTTCTTATTACGTAATCGTATAATTTTTGTGAATGTTTTTTTCTGACCGTTAACCTAATTCCCATCATAAAACATTGATTCAAGCCTTTGTTATTCTTGTCGCAACTAGTACACCTATCATCACACTACCAATTTGTACTTTTCACTTATTATATTTAACTATGTAATCTATTCCACTGTTATCATTGACTTATAGACTGCCTTGATTGGTTTAGAAATTTCGTATATGCATATAAATATTGCTGTACATTAAAGTAAAGCCTGATGAGGATCTAATCGAAAACAACATAGTTCACTATTATGTGTTTTTAAAAGTCTCATTGTTGTTATTGTAGAAGCAAATACAATTGAGGCCAGACCAATGAAAATACCTATGCATTTTATACATTTACCTAATATGTCCTGTGATCTCATCCGGATAGTTTTCATCTCTCTGATAAGACGTGCAATTGTTACATCTTATTCTTATCATTTTCATGTTTTTTCTTCCCCTAACGTAATCGTACTCTGATAATAATATTACTTATTAAAGTAAGGTTCAAGTTATCGTGTTTACATATATCTTGCTTGTATTAGTCAACCTTCATGTTCAAATCATTGGCCATAGATTTATTCTGTTTATTCACTACCAAATATGTAGTCGGTGTGTTGTTCTGTTCCATATCATTTAAATGGAATCATTTCGTCTAGTTAGTTTTAAATGGGCATTATTTTAATTCTTCAATAGTCAAGTAAATTGTGTTATTGATATCACAAATAAGGTATATAGAGGTTACAGAATTAAACGAGAATTTCTTTGTATGTTTGTACATGTGCTAAACATTTTGTCACATACATTTCTCAAAACTTATTTAACTTCATAAATTAATTAAATTTGTTCGTACACTTAATCAGTTCACTCATATTCCGTGAATAGTCTATTTGAGCATATAAAATGATGATTTAAATCTTATACACGCGGTGAATTCCTCGTTCCAACAACATCATTATATGAGGTAGTTATTTTATGAATGAATAATCGATAGGATTCTTTCAGATCATCTTGAGTATAAACTACTAATCCCTAATAAATTAAAAAGTACGTCTCCAATGACAGTCATTTAAATAAAATGTAGACATCATTGATTAGTGTTGTCAATGATCAATCCGTGCGAATATGTTAGTTGACTAAAGGAAATTATTCAGTATCAAAGAATACTTTATTTTTCATATCGTTGTGTATGTGTGTGTGTGACCTGGTTGGTGATGCAATCTAAGTCTTATGAAAAATTATTACATCTTTGGGAATTGTAGATACATCTTACTAGCAGTTATTAATTAACTGAAATTCATTAGTAAAACAGGGTTTCATTATATTGCATGATGCTTTTTGCATTATGGCTACTGAACTGTTTGAATTCAAACAGAATTATTCAACAATTTAAAGAAAATCATAATTTCCAGTTCAGAATATCCTAGAAATGTTTAATCATCTTATATTTAAGTTTATTAATGAATATCATTGATAAAATAATATCAACAAAATGAGACAATTATTTGATAGTGAAGTAGTTATTCATTGATTTATTTATTTCATTTATTTAAACATATAAATACTGGTACAAGGTGGCACGAGATATATATGCGCCACACAAATCACATTTGACTTTTGTGAGGGCTGTGAAACTGCTCGGATGCCCAAACCGAAACAGGTGGTTTTCTTAGGGAGCCACAACTGGAGCCTTCGACCTAAAGGTCTGATCCACAAGGCAGTGGGGCATCGTAAGGAGATGCAGTCCCATGGTAGCCAGTGACCAATAATTGGTTCATACGCCATTCGTTCCCTCGGGATACTGGAGCCCATATGCACTATTGGTTTGGAGTGGGGGGTTTCCAACTCGCCTAGGTGGGCCCTCGATATCCACCAACCCGGTTAAAACGCTGGAAGTCAGCTTTCCGTCTACTTAATTCCGTAAACAACACTCCCGCCACGGGAATTCAGTGAGTAGGACTTCCCTGGCAGAGGCTATATATGCGTGGTCGTGTGAGAGCCTTTCAAGAGGGAGAGCGGACTCTCCCAACTCGTGGCCGTACCAGGACATTTGGGGGCTATTCATTGATTAGTTAATTGTGCTCCAGGATAAAATATATCAGAAATATTCCATGTTTAGCCAGTGGTCAGGATTCATTACCATTTAGAATAAACGAAGTATTCATTGATATAATGTTTTATTTTTATTTATTCAATATTTCTTCTTTTCCATTAATTTATGTTTGCAATAAGATAACATATGATTTGAATACTTTTTTTTCCGAAAACTATCTTACCTTTTCTTGTTCTTTGTATTCCACTTATAACAGTGTCTTGATCCTAATATGAATTTACGCAGTGCTCGTTATTTCTATTGGAAACAGTCAGGTGATTTGGTGTTAAGTTATTTAGTTACCAAAGAAAATAATACTGGTAACAATTATGCTACTACTAATACTATTGATAGTAATAATAATAATTCTATTTCATCATACTTAAACAACAGTCTACATAATCCCACAACTGTTACTTCAATTACTACTAGTATTCCTTCTGCTAACATAAGGAAAGAGGATAATATCAACAATTTCAATGGGAACGGGACAGATAGTAACAATTTGAAGAATGAGCATCGAGAAACCACTAGTGTCGCATCGTCATCATCTTCATCAATGAGTATTCATAATTGATGTTATTATTATTATTGTTATTATTATTGCTACCGGCAACCACAACCCCATTTCACTTTTTTAAATATCACAACACCATGAATAATTGGTGAACGGCTGAGTCACAGAGTACCAAGGATTCAACCTCAGAATATATATATATATATATATATATATATATAGAGAGAGAGAGAGAGAGAGAGAGAGAGGACTAAACGCAACTCAACTGTATTACACGAGTAGGTAATTCTATCAGCACAATATTAAATAAATCTATACGTTTACATTTATGTGTGTTTGTGTATGTATGTAGTATGTATAAATTGTTCTTTGTAAATTTATCTTGTTTCGTTTATCTGTTTGTTTTGTTTTGTTTGCACACACACACACACACAGACACATACACACATTTGTTATATAATGTATATGTGTAATAGTTAGTGTCTTTCATAATTAATTCATTTTGTTGATTTGTTGTTTTTACCCTTCATCTTATCCCATTTTCATCAATTATTATTATTTTTGTTTTGTTTATTCTATCATTCTAACACTATTTACCATTGATTTCATCATCATACAACAAATGTATGGTAGGTGTTCATATGTATTAGGAATATAAGTAGTATAATAAAGCACTAAGATATCACAAACAAAAAAAAAGAGAACAGACAACACCCATTATTTACAGTGTAACATTAAATAAATTAGAAAAGAAATTGCCTATTTTTTTGGGAGGGGGGAATTTTTGATCATTCAACCATACATAGTCACATACACACGCATATATATATAAATTGATTATTGTCTCTCTAAATTGTATTCTTGTATATTGATTGAAATGTAATAGATGTTCAGAATCATTGAACAGAGGAATAAATGTTCATCTACCAGTGATATACTACTGTTTGTTTGTTGTTTTTTCTTATCTTCTTTTATATTGAGTAGATGGATTGAAGTTGTTCAATATGACATTGTTTCAATTCACTAGATTGTTGTTGATACCGATGGTGTAATCTATCGATTATACATTTTATAGCTAAAGAGAAAAAAAGACGGATTTATAATTAAGATAACTTAATGTAAGCAATGATGGATAGTGGCTAGCAGTGAAATCCAGGACGTGCGTTTCGTCCTAATAGACTGATCAATTGCAGCCTTAAACCTCAATGGGAAGACACAAGCTAAACAATATCAAGATAACTTAATATTATAGAAAATAAAAATTTTTCCTAAAGAATAATTAGTTTTTTTAATTTCAATTCAAACAATCATCAAACATTGTCACCAAATTCTAGTTGATTGCCAGCTTAGTGGTCTAGTGGTTAAGCGCTCGCGCGCGAGACTGATAGGTCCTGGGTTGAAATCTCGCCGGGGGGGGGGCTGGATCGTGGATGCTCACTGCTGAGGAGTCCCACAATAGGATGAAACGGCCGTCCAGTGCTTCCATGTTTTCCATAGTTGTCTAGCTTCAACTGACTCATGATCTCAACCATTGCAATTCTAGTTTGTTTAATTGCCTGATATACTTTTCTCAGTTTCTACATTTATGCATAAATTATGTTATGTATACAAAATTATTGTTTGGCTCAAAATGTAATGTTAGTAGGAATAAAAATTAGTTTGAAGAAGGTTAGAAGGGTTCAAACTAACATGTAGTATCAACCCATAAAGTTATGGATCGTACATTTGAGTTATATTTGTAGGCACAGACTACGTGGTTGGGTTCTATTCGATTATCGTGGCCGATAGTTAGAGATATTGGGCGACATGACTTAGAATCAGTCAAAAATGTTATAGTTGAATCCATTACTTCTTTCGAATCATATTCCTTATGCCTAATCCTTTTTTTTAGATCACCGATATTGCTACTAATTTAGTTTTCATCCCATTGTAATGATGCGGTGTAGTAACTTAAACTGATACACTTCTTTATAAAGGTCTGTGTTTGTTCATGACTGACTGAAACATTTGAAGTTATTAGTTAATCGTTGTATCGATTGGATTGATACTCGCTTATGATGAAAAAATGGGTACTTTTTTGATATTAGTTATTTTATGCAGTGTACAAAACGAATACCTACCTTCTTTTGTGCCATCACTTATCAAGAATAAGGCACAATCAAATCGTGCTGTTTTACTCAATTGGATTAAAATATTGTAAATCCACAGACTATTATTGTCTAGATAGATAAGATAGAAAATGTTTTGAAATAAAGTAATGTAACAACAACAACAGAGAAAGGCTTTTTAAATTGCTATAGTAAATAAATTTTGATAGTGAACAAGTTGCCCCTAATTATTTGATTGTCTTGTTCCTATTGATGTTCTGGAATCTATTCATGACATGTTCACAATGTAATCTCTAACTGTTATTGAAGTAAACCTAACTCAATCTGTATTTGTAATCTTGTAAGTAGGATGATCAACAGTGTATAAGTCTGCGCAATTATAGCAGTAAATCAAAGATATGTGACAGTTAATTTCTGGGCAGAATATGATGAATAGCTCCTAGTGATTGGTTTTCATTGAGTTCTTAAAGTTTCGAAATAGGAAATGATTAGGGAAGAAACATATGTCTTCATTGGTTGATAACTTGTATTTGTTATGACCTAATAACCAATGTGGCATTTATTAAGTTGTTTCAGAATTTTACTAACTTACTTGAACACGAATATACAATTAGAATAAAATATTGATATTTGAATAATTAGAAGGTAGAAGACATATTCGGCGATAACTCAATGGAGATCAGTTGAAAACAGTCAATCGTCGAATTTTGGTACAATAAAAAGTTAAGTCACAGTAAAAGGTGAATTTCGAATTAGTATATCTACCGCCAAAAACGAATTCTGTCGTTTCGTCAATTCACTTTAAATTCACTCATGAATGAAAGATACTACAAGTCAGTCAAATGTTTCTCTAACCAGATTACTAGTGATTGTTTTCAGTGTTGGGCAGGATTTTTTGTGTTTTTATTTCAAGCTTATAAAGTAACTTTCTGATTCATTTACTTTAACGAACTATTAATAGTAGAAAAAGTTTTCTAAATCTAACTTCGTATCTAAAATTAATAGGACGATCCAACAATCACATCGTGTTGAAATCATGAACCAATCTAAGTTAGACCACCATTAGAGTTCTGGTGAGAATTCGTGACCAGTGAAGTTCAACCGTATCAGACATGAGGCAGTTACTTACCGGAGTCAACGGGGAATGGTCGCGCAATATCGTGGATTGGTTGAAGTTAGACATTAACACCGTTGGTTACCGGCTCAGTGGTCTAAAGGTTAAGCGTTCGCACGGGTTTGGTCATAGTGCTAAACTTTTTGTATTCTTTGACTGAAAACAAGAAATTAAGTTGCTTCCAATCGTAAGATGTGCATTTCATCTTTATCTACAAGATATCAATCGTGTTTACTTCACTAAATATCAATATCCTAACTGATACCTAAATCTATCGTTTCAGGTATCAAAATAGTATTCACCGATAAACTATTGAGTCACAGTACACAAGTATCAATTCTGGTTTAAATTTAAACCTTTCTATTATCCACTCATAAGACTGGTTATGCTGTGACTTTATGGCCCGCTAGTTATCATGTAATCTATTCGCCAATCAAAATACGACTCATTCTCTCTTATATTGTACTAAACTAATGACGTCCGACTGGTCTGATCAGCCTAGCGTCCTGTTGGTCCGTTGCTCGCCTAGCCCGTCCAGCTGAATCCAGATTGTTAACAACAGCCTTCATTATGCGAATTGAATCATTTATTTCAGACATACTGGGTTTATAATATCAACCAAACAGACCGCAACGCACCATAAAATAGGAAAATAACATTCATACATAAATAAACCAAAAAGTGTCTGTGAACGTGGGAGACAGTAATTAATAAACTAAGTATAACTTAAGAACAGTAAGTCGTATAATAATAATCTATAGGTCAAAATAAAGCTTATAATAAGAGGAATATAAATATACATAATCTAATTATTGAATAGTCATACCATAGGAATATATAGATAATATTAGTCCATTAATAAGTCTCAGGAATTACTCGTAATTTAATCTTCACTAGGATATAACAAGTTAGTACAGGATTTTTTCTTTTGATATATGAACATCTTGTATGAATGTATCAGTTGTATAAGCTAACATATTCTTATCATATTTGGTAACTGCTTCACTATTTTCAAAATGCTTATATTTGGTGGAACTGGATAGCTGATAATATTAGTATTCTTATCAATGTTAGAGGATAGATAGTTGTTTAATAGTGTTTAGGGTTTTATTAGTTATCGTTAAACACTTACTTTTAGTATTCATTGATACATTGATTGCATTCAATAAATCATCTAACATCTCAGCTTCCATTCGAATTCCAATTACTGAAAACAGAAATATTAAACAAATTTTTATCTTAGTTGAGAGCAAATCGATGTAATTAAATTGGTATCAGAAGGGGTTTTTTGTGTGGATATTATAGTAATTTCAATAGTTGAGATCATAAGTCAATTAAAGAGAGAACACTGTGGAAAACTGAACGGCCGTTTCATCCTATTATGAGACTCCTCCTTTGCAGTGAGCATCCACGATCCGCCTCGCGAGATGCCAACCTAGGACCTATTAGTCTCGCGCGTGGGCGCTTAACCATTAGATCAATGAACCGGCTGGCATCCAATGGTGTTAATATTTAACTTAAACTAATCTACGAAATTGACCGACAAATCCGCACTGCTGAGGAGTCCCACAATAAGACGAAACGGTCGTCCAGTGCTTCCAGGTTTTCAATGGTGGTTTAAATTCAATCGACCCATGGTATCAACTATTGAAATTATATTGGTGTTAACTTGCTACTTTTACTTCAATGTCAACATTTTATCTTATTGAAGAATTAATCTAACCCTCAGGTATATATATATCACATTGAAATCTACTTATCCCTGCTTTATGTTTTTCAAAAAAATTTATATAGCTGACAACTTAGTTAAGAGAATATTCACTTGTTGTTGTTTGCTTGTATCTTCGCATTGTTATTTAAGACTGCAGTTGATCATTCTCTTGTTGGTACATGTGCATCATGTGCGGACTGCCTCAGTATTGCCTGAAGTCACAAGCTTTATAAGCAAAGATGGATAGTGGGTAGTAGTGGAATCCAGGACACGCGTTTCGTCCTATTTGGAATTCGTCAGCTAGATTTACCTGCATCTCAGAGTTGATATTCACTCTGGGACTCGAACATAGTACTATTCGCTTCAAACGCCATCGTGTTATCCACTCAGTTACTAAGTCCTAAAATACTATAAAAACACTATATTTTCTGTACTAAAACGAACATATGGAATAAAGTGCTACTTTTATAGTTTTGCACCTTTTCTCTCGTGTTCAGTTCGCTGTATAGTTCTAGCTTGCGGGGGGGGGGTTACGAGAATAGCTTAAGAACCGAATATAGCGTTCAATTAGCAAAACTTATCATTATTTTGAATTAAAAACTACTCATTTCATATTTACTTACATTTTGGTAATTGTTCAGGTAATATATTATTTAATAGTGTTATAATTTGATTAATAGCGTTTGTATAATTTGATCGTTTTAAATGTTGAATATTTATCCAACAATTTTGAAATTCATGTGAGTTTGTTATTGGTTTATCTGAAAATTCATATATGAAAAAATATAAGAGATTAAAGTAACTAACTGTTATATCATATGTAATAATTATAAATGTTTCATTCATTTGACAGAAATACACTTCAATAGTTGAGATCATGAGTCATTTAAAGCTAGATCATAATAGAGAATCTGGAAGCACTGGATGACCGTTTCCTCCTATTGTGGGACTCCTCCATGGCAGTGCGCATCCACGATCCTGCCTTGCGAGATTCGAACCCAGGATCTATCGGTCTCGAGCGCTAGTGCTTAACCTCTAGACCATTTAGCTGGCCGGCATCCGACGGTGTTAATGTTTAACTTCAACCAATACATGAGCCACTGTCCATCATTGTGTTCAATAAGTTACTATCTCACAGCTGACTCATTTGAACTCTACTGGACACTGCTTCTCACTAGAACTCCAGGAAATACCTCTTGAAGCCAGTCACTAGTGAGCATATGTTGATTAATATCAGATGGGTTTTGTGGATATTATAGTAATTTCAATGGTTGAGATCATGAGTCAATTGAAACCAGACCACCATTGAAAACCTGGAAGCGCTGAAAATTCATCTCCTGATAATACTTGAACAAGTAATGACTATAATAATAATAATAATAATAATAATAATAATAATAATAATAATAATAATAATAATAACTCAATATTTTTAATATTTAGTGTTATAATATTGACAGGATTAATACATGTCTGTTATTTGCTTCACTGCAGTTAAAATCATATTGATAGGTAATCATTATAGTGTAACTTAGTACAATACTACTTAAATTCTCTACGTCCCAATAATTAAAATCTACAAGCATTTGAGAACTGTTCCTTCTGAGAAGATAGAGGAGTATGTCAGTAGTATATATATTTTGATGTTATATGATAGCTGTCATATTTTTTTTGCATCATTTCTATGTTCATTATTTCTTACATTAAAATAATCAGTGAGCTTAACGATTACTGTATTGACTTCAAGGATATTTACAATTAACAAAATAAAGTATTCTCGTGTTTTTTCTTTTGAATTATCTTTTGAAAGTGTTACTGGAATATGGTAAAGACTAACGAGTCAATAGTGCTAAAAACTTTTATTTCCTACAATAAGTTATTAAATAAAATTATGTACTGATATCGTGTGTACTACTGATATCGACAGATATAGGAAGTATGTATCATTAATAGAAGGTTAAATACCTGGCGAAAGAAGGTTAAGAAGATCGAAGAAAAGAGAACAAGAACAGAGAATGATTACTGTGGAAACAAAGAAACTATGAATTCTGAGACCATTGATTGACATTTTGCAAATGAAGTATTTACTACATATATGACGAAATCTCACTTATCTTGGAAGTCTCATCAGCCCTTGTGGTCTGGTGTGTGACGAAATCTCAGCACTGATACAGAAGGCTCGACTAGATTTTGCCAACTTGCGTCATTTCCGGCGTGAGCGAGATATCCGTCTACCAACCAATGGACGGACTTACTGTGCAGCAGTTCGTTCCCTCCTACTTTATGGAAGTGAAATATGGCCGGCAACAGTAGACGATATTCGTAGGTTACTAGTATTCGATCATAGGTGTCTTCGGAGCACTGCTCGTATATACTATGACCACCGACTAGGTTATGCAGTTCTTAGGAAACGGGTGCTAGGTGAAGATGGCAAATCGATTGATGAAGTAGTGAAACTTCATCATTTGAGATGGATGGGATACGTGTTAAGTACGCCCAACCACCGACTGCCCCGACGTGCGATGTTTTACGGTTTAGGAGTAGATTGGAAGAAAGCTAAGGGCGGCCAGACCAAAACATGGCACAAATCGATGAAGTGAATGACAAGTGGACTGAGCCATGTTGGTAGGTGCAGACTACCTGGTTGGGATCCACGGGAAGATAGCAACCGATGGTTAGAGACCTTGAATGACATGTCTCAAAATCGTTTGCAGTGGTGCAGGTGCATCCACTCTCTGTGTTCTCCCAAATTCTATTCTTCTGAATTCTTCATGCCCCTTTATATTTTTTCTCTTCGCAAATTTATTCCGATGGATTATACTCCGTGAATGATATCTTCAAACCCTAATCTTTCCGATTGCTACTTATACTTTTTGTACCTCTACCACTACGGGATTTGAATCGACAAGATTGGTGCACCAATCTTTGTTCTTGCTCTGTTTAAGATAATAAAGGGAACTATTTGTATATAAAATCTATTTGAAACTTGAGGATATAAGTCAGGTAAATACCTATCAAGAATAAGGTTTTAACTGTAAATCGCTACTTAATAGTATTCAATAATACATACACTCAAAGTAATTTATCAACATTCACTTGAATAGTTACATTTATTAATTTAATACTTGAGATAAACGTTTAGTCAGTCAGTCGTAAACCATGTAGAACTTGGCACATAGGGGCATTAGTTCAAGCTGCTATATCATATCAGATCAGCGAAATCAAATTATCAAAACTAATGTCAGGGTAGTAGACAGTAACAGTGTCCGCTGTTATAGAAAAGACTAAACATAAACTATATATATATATATATATATATATATATATATATATATATATTTGAGGAGTAAAAAAGAATAAGATAATTTTGAGACTAAAGTATTCAGGGTAAACAAAGCATGAATGCATTTGCTCAATTGTGGTCAATTCTAAACTGTATCTTTCAATGAGTTTATAGGCATCAATGCCACGGTTAAACTTGATAGTTTCAAATAAATTGAGCATTAGGTAGAAAGTTAATAATAAACATACTTTTTTTTATATCCTAGTGAGTAGAAAAATTGTATTTCTGACGTTTTGTGACTCAGTGTAAGCTACTCCTTTCATTATCTCCAACCATTGGTTACAATAGTCGCGCTCACCTCAATCAGTTAACCTTCATCCACTAACATGAATCAGTCCAACAGTCAATCCCTTCATGGACTGAAACCACATTATATAAATGTATATAAACATAACTGGGTAATAAATTGAAACGTTAAAAATATTTTACTGTTTGAGAACATTGTTGTTTGTTTATCTTAGTATAATTCATAAACTATACAAAATTTTGAGATGTTGGAGAAGATTTGTAGCTGAATTAGATGATTTTAGTAGTTTTGTTCTCTGAACTGGATGGTTGGATCGTAGAGCTTTCATCGTTCTTCCGAACGACATCATCAGCACAAACTTCAGGTAGAAGTTTTCTAGTTGACCATCCAGATCAGAGAAGAAAACTCCACCAAAAACTATATAAAATTAAAAATAATTGGTAACAATTATCTTACCTAACTTCCATCTATTATCAATAGTCGAATTTATGCTACTTGTATTAACAATCTTTGTATCTTCTTTATTGATAAGATTCACTTCTTCCCATTCATTATCAATTGATTTAGTCATAATATTTGAATTAGCTGGTTGAAATTTAGAGAAATCATTTAGATTAGTAGAAATATGACATGATGGATTCATATTATTACATTGTATAGATAAGAGTTTATCATAACTTTCATCATTCTCTTCTTCTGCTTCCACTTCTAGTATTTCACTATTGTTATTGTCGTTGTTGTTGTCGTCATCGTCGTCATCATTAATATTGTCATCATGAATATGATCTTCTTTTTCACTGTCAACATTTGGTAATTCAATTATTTCAAGATCTGATGTAGTACTGATTGTACTAGTAGTTATTACTGTTTGAGATTTATTAATTAGTATATCAGTGTTCATGTTCTGTTTTATTAAATAAGAGAAAAAATATAAGTGATTTAATAAGATTATTCTTAAAATCAATTAAATTTTAAGGATAGATTTGTATAGAATAATTTCTGATTGCATACAACTTATTTATGATAAGATAAAGGAAATTGAGATGGTGGAGAAGATTTGTAGCTCAGATGGATGATTTTGATGGAGTTTTGTTCTCTGAGCTGGATGGTTTGGTTGTGGAGATTTCATCGTTCTTCCGAACGATATCCTCATCAGCACAAACTTCAGATAGAAGTGAAGTGTTCGAATTTCTCCATATGCGTTTCACAGCTTATTTTGTACACCTCAACTTCTTGAAAAAATACCAACCGCACGCAGCATCAGAACCTAAGTCAAGCACTGAAATCAACAAAAGGATCGCTCTACCATGCATGAAAGACATATCAGAAACCGCAACGAGACTGTTGAAAACCTTCGGAATATGTGTGGCACACAAACCGACAAAATCACTACAATCAATCCTATGCAAACCAAAGGATGAAATAACAAACGAAGACAAATCAAACATCATCTACAAAATAAATTGTGCAAACTGTGAAAAACACTACATCGGACAAAGCGGACGCCCCCTCCACCTTCGCCTGCACGAACACCAATTAGCAGTCAAACGCCGTGATATCTCTTCACTTATATCAATACACGTGGACAACTGCGGACACTCATTCGATTGGTAAAATGTGGAAATCTTTGACAGAGGAATTTCCAAAAACACTAGACAATTTTTAGAAGCTTGGCACTCAGGTCAATCAGCAATCAACAAGCACACTGAAATCGATCCAACTTATCAACCAATCAGGAAAATTATGCATAAACTTAGGAACAAAAATCAAACCAGTGGGAGACACAACCAAAACAAAGGAGTAAACAACGACAAATTTAAGGTCAATAAGAACCAATCAACATTGAGGTGTACAGAACAAGCTGTGAAACGCATATGGAGAAATTCGAACACTTCACTTCTATCTGAAGTTTGTGCTGATGATTTCGTTCAGAAGAACGATGAAAGCTCCACAACCAAACCATCCAGCTCAGAGAACAAAACTCCACCGTAAAGGAAGTTGTTTTATGATAACTAACTAGAATAGATGTGAATTATAGTATTAGCATCGAAATATCCATCGCGGTTGTTATTATATGATTCGATGTCATTCAATTAAAACAAGATGAAGTTAAGCGTTTACTGTGATAGCTGAATATCCTTGATCCAATTCCTGATGTGGTTGTATATAATCGCTGTTGAGGAGTACCGTACTAGGACGAATCAGCTGTTTAGTATTTTGTAGTTGTCGTTCATTATCTAATTAGAGTCAGACAATAATGTCAAGTATAAAAATGAATACCCTTCACAAACCCTCCATGTCAATGAAACTAGATAAGTTTTATTTGCTGAAATTTGTTTACACTGATTACCACGACGCGTAATGTTGACCGATGTTGGGGATGGTTGGAAGAAAGTTAGGGGCGGCCAAACCAAAACGTGACATAAGTCCACAAAGTCACTGAATTCTGGTCTGAGCCATGTTGGCGGTAGATGCAGACTACTTGGTTGGGGTCTGCGTGACTATCGTAACCAATGGTTGGAGACTTTGTGACGTGTCTCAGAATCGATCATAATGGCGTCGGTGTATACACTCTCTGTCTTCCCTTAAACTACGAGATTAAAATCGCCTCATATCTTTCTACGAACTAACTCTTTCTTCCTGTACTATATTCTTATATGCAATCTCTCCTTTATATATTATAACCATTGACTTAAATACTCCTATGAATCCGGTGTTTATCGTGTTGTTGTATGGTAACTTGGAACGATGTATATATGTGCCTGGTTCTACGTTGTAGCTGATTGTCTGACTTTGTTTACACCTTGCATTACTCCGAACATACTATGCTACTTTCAAGGACTGAGACCATGTAAAGTATTCTTTGATTAATTTATCCTAGATCAGCACTGACAAACAAATAAGGATAAATCAATATTAACATCGTTTAGCTTACTTAGATAAATATACTTCAATAATAACAAAGTGGATACAGATTAGTAAAAGTGGAAATAAGGCAAAATGAACATAGACTGCTAGAAGAAAAAAACGACTGGGAAGATTAAGAAATTAATAAAATATTTATGATACTATGAAGTGGGTTGGATTTCTTTTACTCTAATCACTTTTGAACTACAGTGAATGAAGTTTACAACTAACGAATTCCATAGTCAGACAGACTTTTATTATAAATTGTCAACTTACCAATATGGTTAACTCTGATAATCAATAAATCTATAGATTGTTTTTATCTTTCATCATTCAGTATTTCCTAATTCTAAACTTCCTCCGACCAGTAAAGTATCGTGATTTAGGTAAAGCTCAAAAATGTATAACCTAATCGTTCAAATACTTCACTAAGCTTCAAATAACATGATTCAATGAAAACCAAGTAGGGTTCATGTATCGTTGCTGAAATTTTGTCACGAAACTTTTAGTGATCTTACCTCACATAATCAGAACATAGAAAAAACATGTTGAAGTTCTTCTACACTAAGAAGCATTTTTAAACTCATGAGTTCAAAGAGGAAAATAGCAATCTACACTTTTAAAGTAGACTAAATCTGACAAACTCTCCTTGACAGTACAATTTATAGAACACGTTTTTAAATTGGATTCGCTAAATGTATAACATAAAACATACTTTTGCACAAAATCAATGGACTGTACTGTTGAAAAGTCACAAAATGAGCATAATGTATGACATACAATATGATTTTGTGCTTGATACGATTCTACCACTGGATAACTAGGTACTTGATACAACATTATACTACGTTTAGGATCAATACGAATCGACATTAAATAATAAGGCACATTGCTATACTGGTTACTCGATCAATACTCAGGATCTCTGTATAACGAATGATTATATTAAGACACTAAAAGTTAAACCAACGACTGAGAACCAGTTCAGACTAGACTATATTTTATGGATATACATTACGAGTAATCAACAATGAAATGACATTGCAGTATTATATAGTTGCATATATTTAGCATAGCTGTACGTGTCTATCTTCTTTCACTATCTGATAACATCTTGCTTTCACCGACAGATCAGTAAAACATGCCCAAAAACACAATAATCTATCAAGATTCCTAATAATCACTTCAACATAAATGATTAAGTTATTATATAAAAAAAAACTTACATCCGTCTGTACCAAAGTATTCTGCATTTTCTTCAATTCTTCAATAATTCTATTATTATTTGGATTTAAATTATATGCTTTCTGTAAATCTTTTAAACATCCTGAATGATCACCTAGAAACTGAAAAATTCAATAAATGATCAAAGAAAAAAACATAACATGTAAAATCAATACTCGATATCACACAATGTTCATGTTTTTAAATCAATTAAAAAGAGGTAATCATCTAGAAAATATACTACAATCCAACGCCTTTTTTTCCAAAGTTCACTTGTAATTGGATTATATTTTTTTAAAAAGGTGAGACTATAATTTATGGACGACCTTTCAGTGACGCTAAAGTGACGTTGAGAATGCTCACTTAATAACTAGGACCAAATGAAGGTTATAAACTAGGGTGAGGAATTCGAATTCCAATTTACAGTTGATGATTAAGGTTAGGAACTAGATTTCGGGTTTTCATCACGAACTGACATCAGCTATAATGTCAAAACTCGATTTATCCAAATGGATGAGTGAATTCCCCACCAAAATCCGAGACCTGTTAACTTATACGTGATTGGTTCATCCATAAATTCTAGTCTTGTCGTGAAAAAAGTGTCGTTTTCAATTAGATGCTTATCAGGCTTTACTCTAGTATACAATAATATGTATGTTATCATTGATTTATAATCTGCCTTGATTGGTTTAATAATTTCGTATATGGATATAAATATTTTTTGTATATCAGATTAAATCCTGTTTGCTTATATATATTAATCTAATTCACAATATGGGAATTAAATATAATACGGATAGTGATATTGTCCGGGCAGTTCAATTTTAAGTGAATGAGAACAGGCTTTAAATTTTCAATTTAATGATTCAAGGCAAAATGAATAATCTTTTTTGATAACAATCTTATCCAAATAATTATTTGTTACAGTAAACCGTTTAGCAGTCATATTAACGACATTGCTCATTTGTGTTAATAATTTCAATGTTTGAGATCATGAGTTAATTGAAGCTAGATCACCATGAAAGACCTAGAAGGACTGGACGGCCGTTTCGTCCCATTATGGGACTCCTCAGCAATAATGATTATTGTTTATCTTCAATGAGTTCCTATCTCTCAACAGACATGGTTCAACTCCACTGGCAACGACTTCTCTCTGGAGTTGAACCAGGTCTGTTGTGAGATAGGAACTCACTGATGACAATGGTGTACGGTAGCGCAACTTCGTGGATTGGTTGAAGTCAGACACCGTTAGATGCCGGCCAGCTCAGTGGTCTAGTTGGTTAAGCACCTGGCGCGAGACTTATAGGTTCTGGGTTCGAATCTCGCGGGGGGCGGGGTCGTGGATGAGCACTGCTGAGGAGTCCCACACTAGGACGAAACGGCAGTCCAGTGCTTCCAGGTTTTCCATGGTGGTCTATCTTCAATTGACTCATGATTTCAATCAGTGAAATTTCTAAAAATCACAAAACCCATTCTGATAATAATAATCACGTGCTCACTAGTAACTGACTTCAGGAGGTACTCCTGGAGTTCTAGTGATAAGTCGTTACTAGTGGAGTTGAACCAGGTCAACTATTTATCATGAATATCAATAATGCTGCTTACTTGAACTACTTATACTACTTGGAACAAAATAAGTAGTTAAATGTTATTAAGCGAATTCCATCATAAGAGACTAAGCATATACGCATCATAAATATAGTTTATTTTCAATAAAAGTATTATTGAGTCCAGTTATATGATCCATCATTTTGGATGTTGAACGTTCAAAGGAATAGAATGATGCAAATACATCTTGAGTTTTAGTACGAAAATAGTTTCTTGGATATGAATTAAATTTAAATTTACATTTGAATGTAACTTGGACTATATTAGCTTAAACGGAAGAAATATTGTTCAAAACATATATATGTGGAAAGTAATGTATATGTATTCAAGAACATTCATATCATGAACTACTGTCAATTAGAGAATTATCGTGAATCAAGAAACATATAACAGTATTTTCGACGTAATATAGGACACCTCAGAAATACATAGTTGTACATTCACACAAGAATGGATCTTACCAGCAATGAGAAATGTTATATAGCATTGATTAGAGATATGATGGACGAGACTATAATTTATGGACGAACCAATCAGATTTACGACAACAGGTCTTGGATTTTGGCGCGAAGATCTAAATAGCGTTTTGATATTTTAGCTGATGTCAGTTCGTGGTGAAAACCCGAAATCTAAATCCTAACCCTTACTATCAACTGTAAATCATATTCTTTATTCTTCACATTGCTTCATAACTCTCATTTAGCCCCAGTAAGTAGGTGGACATCCTCAAGGTCACTGTAGCGTCGCTCAAAGGTCGTCCGTAAATCATAGGCTCACCATAAGGTACTTCAGTGCTCTATCGTCTTCGATGGTTGACATCAATTCATGACGCAAAATTTTGTTGAGATGGTTGTCTTCTTGACTATGACAATAATAATTCATTTACTAAGTCCGTTACTGCACTTGTCACAAGATTTTTGGACCATGCAAGTCCTAAACATATTGAACATTCAGTTAGATTATCAGAAAGCCAAATGTATGGTCACAGATACCTTTATGTAGTTCACATCACGAACTGACTATAGCTAAATATCCACATAAAACCAGGAAGCACTAAACAGCTATGTCGTCTTAGTATTTGTTTCAGGCTTAGAAATGAGCGCTTAACTTTCGTACTATTAACTTGTAATCCACTCATCAATAATTTGAACTTTAACTATGTCGGGTTGAATCGGTGTTTCCTAGTCTCCAACGGTTGCTTAGCTACAGTTAACCTGTGATGTAAACTACAAAATTCAACAATCTCCACAGTCCTTTTATATTTTTTTATTATTTAAATTAATAAATCGTGTGATTATGCAAGTAAAATACCAAACTACAATGTGCCACACTTTACAAATCTCAGTAGGTACCAATCTAGAACATTTTCGAATAACAGATCCAGGAGTTAGTTGAGATTGACAACGAAACAAATCAAAACATAACTAACTATTGTGACTATATAAAGAAAATACTCTAAAATAACTCTTTGATAAATAATGAATAAAATTATAAACAATGATTCAGTATTTCATGAAGTCATTGGTTTAAGCTGAGTAGATAAACTTAGGCAAACTGGTTTGGTTCTACATGATAATCGTAATTATTAAGCAGAAACATTGGATGGAATCGTTTAGAATCGGTTACAATAGAGCAAACATATTTAGTCATTTTGTACCTTTAAATTTGGAGTTCCGGTATGTAGATCCTTTCAATGAATGTTTTCAAACAATAATCGCAGTTTTTAATTTAATTTACATTATTCTGCTCTTGATCATTTTTCAAATTTATCTCGTTGTACTTTGGTAGTATAGGGACTTGAATAAACGTACATACCTGATGTGTTCTACATTGACCATAACTGATCAAATGACTGATAAAAGAATAGCTTTTCAGTTTTAAGGTTTTTATCCCTTTTATCGCATCTTAACAGAATCACTAAACAAATCATAAGTAGGTATTTATGTAACCATAAGAAGAGATGAATGATGGCTAGTAGTAGAATCAAGGACAAGCGTTTCTTCCTACTTGAGATTCGTCAGCTGGATTGACTTGGATTCAAAAGTTGATATGAACTTCAGAATTCAAAAGCAGTACCATTACCTTAAAACACCACCACGTTATTCGTTTAGCTACTGGATCCAAATACTTATTGCCTTGAATAGAAGGGTGAATTCTGACTATAGTATTTTTGGCCTCATAGTAATATCGTGGGAACCTGCTTAAAGAAACTGATCAACTTCAGTTCTATACACCAATGAGAAGATTCAAATCATCAACATAAATGAATACAAAAATCAATAATACATACCTTTAATGCTAATGCTCTACGATACAATGCAATCGGACAATTAGATTCAATCGATAAAGCTGATGTACAATCATTACATGCTAATTGATATTCATTCAATTGTAAATAAATCAATGAACGATTACGATAAATAACAGCTAAACGTTTGTCATGATTTAAATTGTACTTTAAACAAAGTTCAATACATTTATTGAAATATATTAAAGCCAATTTCATATTTCCCTAGTAATTAAATAATAATAAAGACAATGAATAGATATATGTCATAATAGAAGAAATGTTGTATGATGTTATGAATGCATAGTTAATGGCTTGAATTGATGCAATTCATGTAGCTTAAAAATTTGGATTCCAATTATTGACACAATGTCTAAATGAATGATTGTGAAAATATACAAGTTGCTTCATTGGTAGAACTGTGTCATTCTATATATATATATATTCGAAAGTATATTGGAAGTACCATTTTTCAACTGGTGTGAAATTCAAGTTCAGAGTTTCATGTGAACTAATTACAACAAACTTTTCAATGTACCATGTCTTACATATAATTTACTATAAAGAATAATTATAATGCTTATTATCATTCGATTTGTGTGAGAGCTGGAATACTACCCGGGTGCCTAATCTAAAACAGATCTCGTTGAAATCATGAGTCAATTGAAGCTAGACCACCATGGAAAAACTGGAAGCACTGGACTGCCGTTTCGTCCTAGTGAAATTTCTAAAAATCTCCACAAAACCCATTCTGATAATAATAATCACCTGCTCACTAGTGACTGACTTCAGTAGACACTCCTGGAGTTCTAGTAAGAAGTCGTTACCAGTGGCGTTCAACCAGGTCAGTTGTGAGATCTCAACTCACTGTACGGTAGTGCAACTTCGTGGATTGGTTGGAGTTACAAATTAACACCATTGGATGCCGGCTGGCTCAGTGGTATAGTTGGTTAAGCGCCTGGCGCGAGCCTGATAGATCCTGGGTTCGGATCTCGCGGGGGGGGGCAGGATCGTGGGTGCGCACTGCTGAGGAGTCCCATACTAGAACGAAACGGCTGTCCAGTGCTTCCAGGCTTCCCATGGTGGTCTAGCTTCCATTGACTCATGATTTCAACCAGTGAAATAAATAATATATTTGTAATATCCCAATGAGTAGAAAAATTAGATTTACTGACGTTCCGTGACTAAGTGTAAGCCACTTCTTCAAAGAATAAATAACCAAAATAAAATTAATCCAAGTTCAGTGCGTTATAATAATAATTCTAATGAAATGCCATGGATTGGTACTGCAGTTTTACCATATTGTCATGGCACAACAGAACTCCAAATAATCTTAAAACAACACAGAATTAAAGTATGTTACAAAACAACGAACACATTTCGAAATACTTTAGTTCGCTTAAAAGAAAAAAATCCCATTCATGTCCACGCAGAACTGCCGCTATAAATTAGATTGTATCGATTGTGTTGCCTATTATATTGGAGAGTCATCTCGCGAAATCTTGACTCATGCCAAAGAAACCCCCTAATAATCCCATAGAAGTGTATAGACTTCAAATTAAATCGGCAATAGCAGTTCATGCCATTTTCAACGACCACCAAATTGATTTCAAAAATATCAAAATATTGCAAAAAGGCTTTTCCAATTACAAAGAAACGAGAGTAGCTGAAGCGTTCCATATAATGCTTAATCGTACTTCTCTCATTAGAAAAGAAGGCCTTACCATACATTCTACTTGGACTATCTATCCTAGCCACCTAGTCTGATGTTATTCACAATTCACACTATTATCTTACAAATTAAACTCTATCCTTTCTCACCATAAAGGTCACACAAGTTTTCATCCTCAACAGTGCACGCTTGCATATACACAAATTTACATACATGTCGCTTATGAATCACTTTGACCGAAATGGCATGATACTGATTTATTCAGACCTGTTTTTGGATTGATCACATGTAATATTCTTGCATTGTTCCTTTGTACTATTAAAACTTGGATTAACTATAATTTGGTTATTTATTCTCTGAAGAAGTGACTTACACCAAGTCAAGAAACGTCAGAAAATCTATTTTTCTACTTATTGGGATATTACAAATATACTATCTTGATTTATAACAATCTAACTGATACTCAATTTATTTGAAATGATCAAATCAAACCTTGGTAATGATACCTACGAAACAGATAAATAAATACCTTTTTAAAGGATTCATTTCCTTTTTGTTTTAACTCTTCATAATCAACGATAGAATATGTACTCTTAGAATTCTGAAAAAAAAGGAAAAGAATAAAGAGGAAATTTTAAAATAATGATAATGTTACCTAATATTATCATTTATTATTCTAGAGAAACATTTAAGCATTTGAGATCATAAGTCAATTGAAGCTAGACAACCATGGAAAACCTGGGAGCACTGGAAGGTCAACTCGTCCTATTGTGAGACTCCTCAGAAGTGCGCATCCATGACCACGCCTCTCGGGATTGGAACCCAGGATCTATCAGTCTCGCGCCAGGCGCTTAACCAACTATACCACTGAGCCAGCCGGCATCCAACGGTGTTAATGTCTCCAACTTCAACTAATCCACGAAATTGAGCGACACATCCACTATTGTCATCAGTGAGTTACTATATCACAACTGACCCGGTTGAACTCCACTGAACAATGCTTCTCACTAGGACTCCAGGATATATATCTTGAAGCCAGTCACTGGTGAGCATATGTTGATTAGTATCAGCCTGCTGAGGAGTCCCACAATGGGACGAAACGGCCGTCCAGTGCCTGCAGGTTTCCCATGGTGGTCTAGCTTTAATTGACTCATGATCTCAACTGTTGAAATTACTACAATCTCCACAAAACCCTTTCTGATACTAAACATTTAAGCATTAAATAAGTAATTAAAAATGCTCATGATTTGAATGAATACAGTGGTCTTAAGTGCTGTTAGAGGTATGAGAACGGTTATCACTTCCCGGTTACCCACACCATGGAAGAGTTCTTCTGGAGATATCTAAAAAAGAAATTAGGTTATAGGTGGTCTTAGTGACCTGAAAGCATGACCGCAATGCTCAAGAGACAACTGCCTGATCCTACGTTGTAGCTGACTAATTGATTGACTAATGATTGGAATGGTTAACTGGTTTCAACTTCTAATATAACTAAGACCGATAATTAACTAAATGATTTTTTAAAAGAACTGAGTACGTAGTTTCTCTTGAATCTATGAAATCAAATATTTATTTAACTCATTAAAATGAATACTGACCATGAAGGCGTAAACTTAATTTCATTCATTTGGTAAAATATCTACCTAGATATATTGGTAGTGTTATTCTTGACTGTAAATTTTCTATGATAATACAGAATAATAAATTGAAATGGAAGAGATTTATAGCTTATGTGGATGATTAAAGGTGGTGTTTTGTTCTCTGAGCTGAATAGTTTGATCATTTGTGTTGATGATATTGTTCAGAAGAACCGTGAAAGCTCTACGACCGAACTATCTAGCGCATAGAACAAAACTCTACCTAAAATAATAAATTTTTACTAGATGGCTTCGATCTTAGATTATGGTATTATTATGTAATCGGGGGAGAATTAATCAATGAAATAGATATTTTTCATAAAAAAACTTTCTAATCCTTCATAATAATACATATTCATAAAATTATGAAGCAGTTAAACGTGATATCATTATGGGGTTGTGGAGATTATTGAGTTTTTCATTGAGGTCATCAATCGATGAATGTTAGACCACGATTGAAAACCTGGAAATACTGAGTGACTGTCTTGTCCCATTATTGGACTCCTCAGCAATGTACATTCACGATCCCACACATGGGATTCGAACCCAGGACTATCCGTATCGCGTGTGAACGCTTAATCTCTAGACTTAATGAGCCGGTATTCAACGGTGTTATTGTCTAGCTTCAACCAATCGACGACATCATTCAACCATCTTTTATTGTCTTCGTTTGGTAACTGAATCACACCCGACAGGAATTCTTGATTTTTGACATATAAAACAGTATTCATCATTCATTTGTAAGTTATATACTTTATATTGAATGAAGTTAAGTAGAGTATTTTTGTTACATAAACCGTACTACATGACAACTTATTTGCTTAACACAGTTAAATAATCTCAAATTTCACATAGTGATTAATCTAGAATATTAACTGAATAAAAATTAGAAGGCCTTCTACTTACAATGGACACTTCATCATGTTCTAAATGGTCATTAACTTCAGATTGACAATACATATCTCCATTATCAAATGTAGTTGTTATATCTTCATTATTATTTGTATCAACTTTGGAGTTATAACAAACATTTAAGCTAGATTCTTGTTTAGTAATATCAATAGTAGATTTGTCAGTCAATTGAATATTATCATTTTTGTTTATCTCAATGTTGAAATAATGTTTTTCACAATCAATATCATTATTATGATGTTGAATTTGATCTAGATGGTTTCTTGAAAGCTCCATTTTATTAGTATTCACTGTCACAATTTCTTGTCCTTGTATGAGTTGTTGTTGTTGTTCCTGATGCTGATATTCATTTTCTTCGACATTTTCATCACTCTCATCATCATCATCCGAAGAATCACCAATATCAGTTATGATCATACGTCTAGATCCTTTCAAATGGGATTCTTGACGTTTTGATATTGCAATTTTCACATTTCGTAATAAATTCTATGATTAAAAAAAGTAATGTATCAATTCAAATCTTATTAGAAATAAGTAATTTAATCTTAGACCACCATTCGAAACCTGGAAGAACTGGACGGTCGTTTCACTCTAGTATGGGACTACTCAGCAGTGCACACCCACGATCCTACACGCGGGATTCGAACCCAGGACATTCGGTTTCTCTTGAGAATGCTTAATCTGTAGACCGCTGGGCACTTCATCATTTTCCAAATGTTCATTAACCCCAGATTGACAAAACATATCTCCATTATCAAATGTAGTTATTATATCTTCAAAACTCATTAGAAATAAGTAATTTGACTATATCAACTTTAGTAGTACTTAGAGATAAATTGATATACACTTAGATAATGAATAATTTTAAATGTAAAATAAAATCAGCAACCTGTTGCCAATCAAAGAAAGCTTGAATAGTTCAAACAGACTGAACAAACCATTATCTTGGATCATGGTTTGTTAGCGAAATTCAAAAAAGTATGTATCGTCCTGTACATAAATTGATAGCTTGTTGAATCCGTATATTATTATTATTATTATTATTATTATTATTATTATTATTATTATTATTATTATTAATCTTTACAGTGGAATTTAAATCTAGTACTTATCATTTCAAATGCAAAAGTGTTTCATATTAGGCACTGGCTTTGATCAATAAATAGAATTATCCCCAATATTCACTTAAAAACAATTCAACTAACTTGAGCTTTAAAATTTGTTGGATCTTGATCGGTCAGTCTATTTAAGTCCTTTTCAGCTTGTTCTAAATTATCTAATTCGAAATTTGCTTGACTTCGTCTAAATAATGCTGAAAAAGAAAACAGAAATCAATTGATAAAAAGAAATTGAAAAAGATTATGAGAAGTGTTTATGTAAAATGAAGGCAAGTTAGCACCTGAGTATAGAGCTTTGAGACATATCGGTTTGGTGAGCTAGTGATAAGATACCGCCATTTGAACAGAATTCAACTAGTCACGTGTAAGTAATGTATAGCCTAGAACATATGCATTTTCTGTTAAACGACTTTTACACTTACAAATATCTTTGATGGTTGGGCATATTTCATGCATGTCATAACCAACAAAGTCAATGAAGATTTAATTAACGCATTAAGTAATTTACCATTTTTACCCTAGACCTAACCTAAACCCTGCTGACACGATGATCCTAGCATACTCGAGCGATGCTAAAAGGCATACAAAATCAAATACTAGTAATCTATAAATATTCTCTAGTCTAAGAGCTATTGGGGGGGGGGAGCATGGGATACAGTAGACAGATAGGATGCAACTGGACAATCTAGACTTCGCAGATGATCTGGCTCTTCTATTGCACACTCAACAACTAACGCAGAAGAAGATGACCAGTGTAGAAGCACAATCAGAAGCAGTAGCTCTCAACATACACAAAGGGAAAAACAAGATTCTCCAATATAACACAACATACACCAATCCAATCACATTGGACGCAGAATCTCTGGAACATGTACAAACATTTACATATCTGAGCAGCACCATTGATGAACACTGTGGATCTGATGCAGATGTGAATGCGAGGATCGGCAAAGCAGGAGCAACATATCTACAAGTGAAGAACATCTGGAACTAGAAACAACTGTCTGTCAACTAACACCAAAGTCAGGATTTTCAATACAAATGTCAAAACAATTCTACTGTATAGGATGGAAACCTGGAGAACTACGAAAGCCATCATCCAGAAGATACAAGTGTTTATTAACAGTTATCTATGCAAAATACTTCGGATTCGTTGGTCAGATCCCAGCGGAGAAAGAAATCAGGAAGAAGTGCTGGAAGTGAATAGAACACAAATTGAGGAACGCACCCAACTGCGTCACAAGTCAAGGCCTTACCTGGAATCCTCAAGACCAAAGGGAAAAAGGAAGACCAAAGAACACATTACACCGTGAAATGGAGAGAGACATAAGAATAATGAACAACAATTGAATAGACCTAGAAAGAGAAGGCGCAGGACAGTGTGAGTTTGAGAATGCTGGTCGGTGGCCTATGCTCATTTGGGAGTAACAGGTGAAATTTAATTCAATTCAGTTAACAGCTATGGACTTAAGTAAATGGAGATAGTTTTCAACTAATAATGGAAGTCAAATTCTACGGATCAAAAAGATTAAAGGTAGACTGTTGAACAATATTCTTCATAAATATATAGACAATTACAGATTGAAAGAATATAATTTGAAAATATCATGAAATTAATTGAAGAATTCTTATGTCAGAATGAAATACCAACCAAAGTGGCGACTAAGTTGACTCAGAAAACTCTTTTTATATCACTTTTAATTAAAACGAACATTTTGTTACTAGGATACATACCTCTATTTCACTTAAACGTTTGAAATAAAATAAGAAATCATTATTGGTAACATACATATTTTACCATAACGCTTTAAAGATATCAATCATCCTAATATTGGCTACTATCATACATAACTAGTTTTATATATATATACTGTTAATTACAATAGTTTCCTAGAATACAGAAAGAAACGTAATGATTCAAGATAAGTATCTGTTATAACGGTTGGTGTTCCACGTTTACACGAATAGGATGTTAATTTATTTTGGACGAATATTTACACCAGATTCCCTCCCAGTGTTTAGGGGAATATATAACTCATCTAACACCTATCAGACAATCTACATGTCTAAGCGGTGTTGGAGATGGTTGGAAGAAAGTTAGGGGTGGCCAAACCAAAACGTGGTATCAGTGCTTGAAGACATTAACCTCTAGTCTGAGCCATGTTGGGAGATGCAGACTACTTGGTTGGGGTTCGCGTGACTATCGTAACCAATGGTTGGAAACTCTCGGAGACATGGCTCAGAATCGATCACAAAGTGTTGGGGACGTTAGATCCCTAAAACTCATATTTTGTAATTTTATCTTTGTGGAGCTTGTATGCAGATGTATACTTGGGCATTTCTTACCACCCACGCACATAGTCGATTGACGAACTTATCGATTAAATGTTTTAAAACTTACATGGCAATATCGATCATATACATTTTGTATAAATACTCTTGATTTGTGTGCTTGAGGGACCTGGTATCTTCTGGTTGTATATAGAATACACTTTCTACATCTTACCAAGACTTCTGGATTGAGCTAGCTGAGTCGGGGACATTAGACCAGTATAGCCTATCGAGTCTCCGAATCCTTGGTTCTTCGTTCCGTTCCGAGTAAGACGAATCAGTAGTAGCATTCAAGTTAACGAACATAACACAAAAGCGTCTGTGTATACACTCTCTGTCTTCCCTTAAACTATGAGATTAAAATCGCTTCATATCTTTCTTTCTACGAACTAACTCTTTCTTCCTGTACTATATTCCTATATGCAATCTTTCTTTTATATATCACCACCATTGACTTAACTACTTCTATGAATCCGGTGTTCATCTTGTTGTGCTAACGCGATATGGTAACTTGGACCGATGCATATATGTGCCTGGTCCTACGTTGTAGCTGACTGACTAAGCAAACAACTAACCATTATCATTGTCGCCCATACATCAGTATCAAAATAAAGAATTATGTTAAAATTAATTTTGTTACTGAAATTATTTTGACAGTAATTATAAGTAAATAATTTCGTTTGGATAAATGAAGATAATCATTGTTATTTCAAGGGAATTTGGGTTGTTTTCTACTAGAAAAACAATATTATTATTATACATACCTTTTTTGATGGAGTTTTGTTCCTTGAACTGGATGGTTTGATCATGAAGCTTTCATTGTTCTTCTGAACAACCTTATCAACAGAAACAACCAAACTATTCAGTTCAGAGAACAAAACTCTATCAATATCATCCACGTAAGCTACAAATCTTCTCTACCATTACACATACCTTTTAAATTATCTGGTTCAGTTTTTAAAACTTTAGTACAATCATTCACTGCTTGTTTCCACTGTTTTTGTCGTAAATCTGGTCAAATTCAAAAAAAAGATTGTTCACAGAATGTAAAAGGTTGAATCATAAATGAAAGTGGAATTTCGAATTTTAAAATTTATTAAGTCAGTGAGCAACAACGTAGAGCTTCGTATGTACGTACATACATCAGTTCGAGTTGCCATACCACATTAACACACAGATACAATTGTCAATTCAAATCCCATAGTCGTAGAGGTAGTAAAGCTATAAGCAGTAATCGGAAAGATTAGGGTCTGTAAATGTTATTTAAAGAGTATAATCCAATAAAATAAATTTGGAAGGAGGGAAAAGAGACATGAAGAATTCAGAAGATTAGAATTTAGGAGAACAAAAAGAGTTAATGCACTTGCACCATTACAAACGATTTTGAGCCATAACATTCAAGGTCTCTAACCATCGGTTGCTATCTTCCCGCGGATCCCAAACAGGTAGTCTACACCTACCAATATGGCTCAGTCCACTTGTTATTCACTTCATCAATTTGTGCCATGTTTTGGTCTGACCGCTTCTAGCTTTCTTTCAACTTACTCCTACACCATAAAACATCGCACGTCGGAGAAGTCGGTGGTTGTGCATACGTAACACGTGTCCCAGCCATCTCAACTAGTGAAGTTTCACCACTTCATTAATTGATTTGCCATCCTTACCTAGTACCCACTTCATAACAACTGCATTACTTACTCGGTGGTCACAGGATATACGAGCAATTCTTCGAAGACACCTATGATCAAATACTAGTAACCTACGAATATCGTCTACTGTTGCCAGCCATGTTTCATAGCTATAAAGTAGGAGGGAATGAACTGCTGCACAGTAAACCCGTCCTTTGGTTGGTAGACGGACGGATATCTCGCCTACGCCACAAATGACGCAAATTCATTGGATGAATGATAACATGATCAACTTGATACCTGAAGGTCGTAGAATCAATGTGATCTAGGTGGTTCAAAGCTTGTTACTGTTGAAACACTTTACAAACTAAAACAAAATGACAAATCTTCACTGATTCTTTATATTGTTTCATATACTATCTTTTAACATCTACCACTGCATACTATGATGTTGATCTATATGGGTTAATGGCCTATTGTTCCTATTTCAATTAAATGCTATCAATACCAAGAACTAGCCAACAGGTGATATCATCTCTACCAAGGAATACATTCAAGAAAACTTAGATCTTCACTAACAAACAAATTGCAAGGATTAAAATAGATCAACCAACCTAACTATCCATATTACTGAAGACACTCGTTGGTTGTTTTTTTCTTCAGTCAAAGTAATAAAAAAAACTCAGTTATGTTTTCTACAAAAGTACATAAAAACTTACATATTAAAGCACGATTATTGTAAACAGCATTAGTTTTATGCATAATAAGACTTCGTTTATAATAGTTCATTGCATCAGCATAATCACCTGATTTAAAGGACTAAATTATACAGAAAAAAAAGTGAGGGTTTTTTGAGTAATAATAATCAGAAATAAGTAGATAGGTTAAATGACTCCTTTTTCTTTTCGAAACCATTAATAGTACTTTTTTTCTAATCAATATTTTGCATTTACTTCTTTTTTTGTTGTTGTTGCCGTAAATTTTCAATCATACAAGGCGTCGTCAGTTGATTAGAATGTGACATGATGTTAAGAAAAAGATTTATCCAATCAGAAATAAGATTTCTACATAATGAAGATCAGCTGAGATGAAGGTTATTTACTCACCTACGCCTGTTACTCCCAATGGAGCATAGGATACCGACCAGCATTCTCAAACTCACTCTGTCCTGTGCCTTCTCTTTTTTGTTCTATCCAATTGCTGTTCATTATTCTCATGTCTGTCTCCATTTCACGCTGTAATGTGTTCTTTGGTCTTCTTCTCTTCCTTTGGCCTTGACGATTCCATATGAGGACTTGCCTTCTGACGCAGTTGTGTGCTTTCTTCAATTTATGTTCTATCCACTTCCAGCGATTCTTCCTGATTTCTTCCTCCGCTGGAATCTGACCAACGAATTCGAAGTATTTTGCATAGATAACTGTTAATAAACACTTGTATCTTCTGGATGATGGCTTTCGTAGTTCTCCAGGTTTCCACCCCATACAGTAGAACTGTTTTGACATTTGTATTGAAAATCCTGACTTTAGTGTTAGTTGACAGACAGTTGTTTCTAGTTCCAGATGTTCTTCACTTGTAGATATGTTGCTCCTGCTTTACCGATCCTCGCATTCACATCTGCATCAGATCCACAGTGTTCATCAATGGTGCTGCTCAGATATGTAAATGTTTGTACATGTTCCAGAGGTTCTGCGTCAAGTGTGATTGGATTGGTGCATGTTGTGTTGTATTGGAGAATCTTGCTTTTCTCTTTGTGTATGTTGAGAGCTACTGCTTCTGATTGTGCTTCTACACTGGTCGTCTTCTTCTGCATTAGTTGTTGAGTGTGCAATAGAAGGGCCAGATCATCAACGAAGTCTAGATCATCCAGCTGCATCCTAGTTTTCCACCTGGAGCTACTGCCGGCCCAAATTCCACATAAAGGAGCAGGGCTAAGCATGGGGTTAGCGACACGATTCCTTAAAAAACTAAGTCGCTAAAAGAACACTAACCAGAAAATATAATTTAAACCATTTTATATATGAAGGTGATGAACCTTAATTGCGCTATAGGTGAGATCCATTTTCTTTTACTGCAAACTATTCAAGACATTTAATAGTTGCATCTTTTTTTCTTCTCTTACATCGAAAAACCATTTTCTCAGTGTAAACGATATTGAAAAAATAGTTTTTGTTTGGTTGTAATATTTGTAGAAATCAGTGTAAGTTATTCGAATAATTTTTCCTCTCAGATTAATGTTATTTGAGATATAGTCGAAAACCAGTGAGCATCAAAGGATCGTTTTGTTCTAATATGGAATTTTTCAGTGGTGATTATCTTTCTCAGGGATAGTAACCTAAATCTTCAGATCTATCAATCAGTGTATTTTTATTATACCACTGAGCTGAAATCCATCTGTTCACATTTTTAATTTCAATCAGTCCATCAGATAATAAGATAGTCATTCATTCGATATCAACTTATTATTCTAAACACAACGAATGCTAAAGAAGACTTCAAAGTCTTGATTACAATCCATGATTAAGCTTATGGTTCTATACTACTCAGGAATATCATTCAGTAATAAAAACAGCTATCCGGCGGTATATCAGCTGATGTCAATCTGGACTGAAAATCACCTTCAGAACCTTTTTCTTCAGGAAGATAGTTTTCTTTTGAAAATAAGCACAGTGAATGAAAATGTTGATACTTTGCTTAAAATGATTTTCAAGCAGTAGTGTGTGTTTTTCGAATATACAAACAGTTTGTTGTCAAAAATTACTTTCAATTTAAAAGAAATTATTATACAAGAAGATATTGGACTATGTAGCTAAACTGTATTTGAAATACAACTTTATTTGATAGTTTTTACACTTTTAATTTTAAGATATAAACGATAAAATGTCATGAGTTTGTTATGATAGGGGTACCCGAGATCTGATGCTGATACACTACATGCTAAACGTTAACCCTCTGAATTGGCTACTTCAGCGAGAAGACAAGAGTAGAAGGGGAAATCTCTTAGGCTACCGAATGACTTAAACATATATATATATCCCTTAGATATTAAATTCATTTCTTAACCAATGATATGCGTCTGTCCCTTAGGTCGTTTCCAATTCTCATCAAGTGACTTTCTTATTCGGCTCCTTTTGATTGGCTCCCTATATCAACTAAAATAATTTATATGATTCCTCATCATTAAAATTATCATTATTCGATGTTCAAATACAACCTGCAATTGAATGAAAGTATAGTGTTTACTGTTTTTAAGCCCATAGAAATATTATCAGCTTGGAAACTTAAGAACATTTGAATATATTCATGATGTGCTAATACACACTTTCATATCCATATAAACAAACTAGCTATTCATACATGATTTATATCATTAATAAAGCAAAAATACTTGAGTATTGTTCTTATCAGTTTTACTTTATATAAACAAATTCTTGCACGAATCAAACCTTCTACTCAATAACTAAAAGTTGATTATTTCAAACAAACTGACTCACGACTTTCATATCTATTTAGTGGCTTGATATCTGACTCCAAATTAGAAAGTTGCGTGTTCGAATCATGTTGGGCTCATCACTTTAGTGATCCATGATCTGATTCCAGTTAGATTGTATGAATGATTATTGTCGAAATATACATCTTGACTATCCTTGTATGAACTTATGAACTTAATCTGCATTGGTAAATAACGGAATTATATAAGTCAAATATGTATATTTCATATAATCGTTGATCCAGACAAATGATCGGAGAAGCGAAGACAAAAGAGCGAAACGAATTGACTCATAGGAAAGAAGGTATATGAGCCAACTCCGATCTTTTGTTTGGATCAACGATTATATGAAATATACGTATTTGAAATCGTTTCACATATTTGACTTATATAATTCCGTTATTTACCAATCCAGATTAAGTTGATAACTATATACAAGGATAGTCAAGATGTACATTTCGACAACAATCATTCATACAATCTAACTGAAGTCAGATCTCGGATCACTACACACATTTGCATATTTTGAAAATTTATTAAATAAATAATACCGACTATAAACAAAAGAAAACAATTCATTAGCTTACTTCATTCCCTTTTTCTTTTTCTCGTTCAGCTAATTTTTTTCTTGTTTGAATTGGCATATTAACTAGTCTTAATTTCAATTCTTTATAATCAAGTTTTCTTAATCCATAGGTTTCCATTTCTGACAAATTCATTTTATCACCTTTTTCAAATTTACTATTTGGTTGATTATCTTCAGTTAATTCTTTATCCCATTCTTTTGCTAATCTTTAAGTTATAATGAAAAATTGTAAACCAAAAAAAAAAAATTCAACAATAATGACTAGTAATGGAATTCAGAATGCAAGTTTTGTTTTATGTGAGACTCATCGTCGGTTGAACTTCTATCGGGAGATTCGTTTGTTGACTTACAATGTGCAAATGACATAGTGCCATTTGGTGAACATGCTGACAAAATGAAGAGTCTTCTCACCACTATAAGCAACAATCAAAGCATACATGTTCGGGATGTGATTCTCCTCCTCGAAATGCAAAATGTTACTTCAGGATTGGGTTGCATCGACACCTGAACTAATGATAGGGAGTGAAGTAATTGAGCGTGTCGACCACTTCACTTATCTTGGAAGTCTCATCAGCCCTTGTGGTTTGATATGTGACGAAATGTCAACACGGATACAGAAGGCTCGACTAGCTTTTGCCAACTTACGTCATTTGTGGTGTAGGCGAGATATCCGTCCGTCTACCAACCAAAGGACGGACTTACTGTGCAGCAGTTCGTTCCCTCCTACTTTATGGCTGTGAAACGGCCGGCAACAGTAGACGATATTCGCAGGTTACTAGTATTCGATCATAGGTGTCTTCGAAACATTGCTCGTATATCCTGTGACCACCGAGTAAGTAATGCAGTTGTTATGAAGTGGGTACTAGGTAAGGATGGCAAATCAATTAATGAAGTGGTGAAACTTCATCAGTTGAGATGGCTGGGACACGTGTTACGTATGCACAACCACCGACTTCTCCGACGTGCGATGTCTTGTGGTGTAGGGGTTGGTTGGAAGAAAGATAGAGGCGGCCAGACCAAAACATGGCACAAATCGATGGAGTGAATGATAAGTGTACTGAGCCATGTTGGTAGGTGTAGACTACCTGGTTGGGATGCACAGTAAGATAGCAACCGATGGTTAGAGACCTTGAATGACATGTCTCGAAATTGTTTGCAATAGCGCAGGTGCATCCACTCTTTGTGTTTTCCCAAATTCTAATCTTCTGGATTCTTCATGTCTCTTTTCCCTCCTTCCAAATTTATTTTACTGGATTATACTCTTTAAATAACATTTACAGACCCTAATCTTTCCGATTACTGCTTATAGCTTTACTACCTCTACGACTATGGGATTTGAATTGACAATTGTATCTGTGTGTTAATGTGTTATGGCAACTCGAACTTATGTATGTACGTACGTACAAAGTTCTACGTTGTTACTAACTGACTGACTGACATAATACTTGTTATTTTAAACGTTAATAGGTTATTCATCAAGCTAATTAGTTTAAGATAGCTACTAGCTTGGATAGTAATTAACATCAGCAACAGAGAAATCTAAACGTTTTCAAATATATCTAATATTTTATTACTAACTAACAAATGTAATGAGAAAAAAACAACCCAAAAAGTCTGAAATTAGCTGCAACATCAACTCTAATTTGGGTCATTTCGTTTCAAGCCTGATACTTTTTACTCTGTTTATGATAAGTTTTTCTGACAGATCTCTTTAATACTCATCTTCAAAACATACATGAATTGTATCTGATTACTAAGATCAGTTAATTAACTAATACAGTAAAGCTAATAAGTGTTTTCAGCCAAATGGATAAAGTTTTGATGTTTGAAATAGAGTATAATGTATTTGAGTCTTAGTGTGAATAACAATATTGGGACATAACAGATACATCTACCTAACAAGTCTTATAAAGACTGAAAAGTACATCTTGAATTTCACTCCAACCACAGTTCATACATTATGAAGGTAATTATGATGATGTTGAGAATGTTACTAATAGCTCAAATCGATGTTCTGAAAAGTAATCTTTGTTGTTACGTGCAATTCAAAAACTCTACGAGTGATGAAATATAGCTCCATAAAACCAATCGTGATATGAAGAAACGTTCTCTCTATGACCCAACACAGAACGATAAAAACACTGTAACAGTATTATATTTTCTATTCTGATTTCAACCTTTTCAATGCTGAACATTCTCATCTTCATATGGCAGTAAAATTAGAATTCTTAAACTTAATAGTAATTAACTAATTATCCAATTGTCTGATTGGAATACTGAAGTTTATTTTTCTTCTAATTTTGATTAATTCCTAATCTAGAATAACTGTCATTAAAATCAAAGATGGATAGTGGCTAGAAGTGGAATCCAAGACGCGCGTTTCGTCCTATTTGGGACTATTCAGCTGGATGTATCTGCATCTCAGAGTTGATGTTCACTCTAGGACTCGAATTCAGTACCGTTCGCTTCAAACGACATGGCGTTATCCACTTAGTTACTGAGTCCTGATAGCCACTTGATTGTGCAATGGGATGATTCAAGTAAACAATACCAAGTGAATTTGTCATTAAATATCAATTATAAATAATCATTCACAAACTTTCAATTTGGTCAATCTTCGTGATTCTCTTTAGTTTAGAATTTTCAGATGAGATTTACCGATTTTGAGATGGTGAAGATTTGTAGCTCAGGTGGATGATTTTCGTGGAGTTTTGTTCTCTAAGCTCAGAGAACAAAACTCCACCAAAAAGAGAATTACCGATAAAAAACTATTTACTATATGAATGTCTACAGTATTGAACTCAATTCCGAATTAAAATGAATAGATTGTCTAATATTCCTTAGTTTCCAATAGATTTTTTAAAATAATCTCAGTTCATATTTTTTTATAAACAGAACCACTTCTGAATAAATCGATAATTCTTAAATTAACAATAGAAATTGAGGAGACGAAAAGCGAATGTCCAGCGCTTTAACCGGGTTGGTGGATGTGGAGGATCCACCTAAGGGAGTTGGAAAACCCTGATTCCAAACCAATGGTGCACATGAGCCCCAGGATTTTGAAAGAACAAATGACCTATGAACTAATTATTGGTCACCAGATACCATGGGATTACATCTTTTGACGTTGCTTCACTGTCTTATCGATCAGACCTTTAGGTTGAAGGCCCCGGGTGTGGCGTCCTAAGAAAATCACCTGCTTCTGTCTGGGCACCCGTGTAGTATCACAGCCCGCACACAAATCAAGTGACTTGTGTGGTGCACATATATTTGGTGCCCCTTTGTACCAATATTTATATGTTCAAATAAATAAATAAAATAAAGAATCACTAACCAGATGAAATATTCTTTACGTTAAACACTTTAAATTGCAATTGTATATTAGAATGCATATGATGTTACTTATCCCAACCAACGAGTGTATACATATTTTCATGTATTTTTCCATAAATGTTCATTATGAATAGTAGCAGTAGCCTCAGCAGCAGTAGATCTCAATACACACAAAGGGAAATGCAAGATTCTCCGATACAACACAGCATGCACCAATACAATCACACTTGACGGAGAAGATTTGGAAGATGTAAAAACCTTTACATCTCTGAGCAGCATCACTGATGAACATGGTGGATCTAATGTAGATGTGAATGCGAGGATCACTAAAGCAAGAGCAGCATATCTACAACTGAAAAACATCTGCAACTCAAAACAACTGTCTGTCAACAAAAACCAAGGTCAGGATTTTCATTACAAATATCAAAACACTTCTACTGTATGGGGTGGAAACCTGGAGAACTACGAAAGCCATCATCCAGAAGATACAAGTGTTTATTAACAGTCGCCTACGCAAAATACTTCAGATTCGTTGGTCAGACACTATCAGCAATAACCTACTGTGGGAGAGAACAAACCACATTCGAGCGGAGGGAGAAATCAGGAAGAATCGCTGGAAGTGAATAGGACACATATTGAGGAAAGCACACAACTGCGTCACAATTCAAGCCCTCATATGGAATCCTCAAGACCAAAGGGAAAGAGGAAGACCGAATAACACATTACACCGTGAAATGGAGACGGACATGAGAAAAATGAACAACAATTGGATAGAACTCGAAAGGAAGACCCAGAACAGAGTGGTTTGGAGAATACTGGTCGGTGGCCTATGCTCCATTGGGAGTAACAGGCGTGAGTAAGTAAGTATGAATAGTTAGCAAGGAATATCAAAGAATCAGAGATTGTTTATCCTAGAATGAGTACATAAATGACTGTATAGATTTTCAAATGGAATCAAATGAATTATTTAATGCTCAATGGGTTATTTCAACAAAACAAAAACATATGAAATTTCATATATAGCCTAACTTACTTATCCCATTCACTATAGTCTTTTGGTTTCAAAACTCTTTTGCCAAATGTATAATCCCCTTTTGAATTTAACTAAAATATAAGAAATGGAATAGTGAACATTTGAAAAGTTTACAAATTATGTTCAAATGAATAAAAAAAGTCGATGTTTACTTAATGTTTAAATAAATCAGATCATATATATCCCATCCAAATATCCCTGTTTCAGATAATGCCAACAATCTTACTCGTTCTTCAGTTTTATTTTATTTATTCCATAAATTCTTTGTAAGTACCCTTTCATTGTATCAGTTAAATTCATGAGTTGATCTAAGCTAGACAACCATTAAAACCTTGAAAGCACTAGACGATCATTTCGTCCTAGTATGGAACTCCTCAAGAGAACGTATCCACGATCTCACACATGTAACTCATACCCAAGACTTTCAGTCTAGCGATCAAACACTTAATCTCTAGATCATTGAGTCAGAGTTTAACGGTGTTTAGGTCTAACTTTAATCGATCCATGGGCTTGCATAACCCTTTTATTGCTGTTCTATTGTAAATATACTACAAATGTATTGTCTTTTGATTTTCTTATTGGGAAATATCCTGTTTCAAAAAACTTTAAGATATGACTAATAAAATATTAAACAATAAACCATTTTCAATGGATGTTATTCAACTACATCAACCAACACCACGGTCAGAATTTTTAATACAAATGTCAAAACAATTCTACTGTATAGAACGGAAACCTGGAGAACTACGAAAGCCATCATCCAGAAGATACAAGTGTTTATTAACAGTCGCCTACGCAAAATACTTCAGATTCGTTGGTCAGACACTATCAGCAATAACCTACTGTGGGAGAGAACAAACCACATTCGAGCGGAGGAATAAATCAGGAAGAAGTGCTGGAAGTGAATAGGACACACATTGAAAAAAGAACACAACTGCATCAAAAGGCAAGTCCTCATATGGAATCGTCAAGGCCAAAGGAAAAGAGGAAGACCAAAGAATACATTACACCGTGAAATGGAGATAGACATGAGAATAATGAACAACAATTGAATAGAACTAGAAAAGAAGGAGCAGGACAGAGTGGGTTGGAGAATGCTGGTCGTTGGCCTATGTTCAACTTGGAGTAACAGGCGTAAATAAGTAATTAATTCACTAGATCAGTATTAAATATTTAAATATTCACAATATTCTGTTTTGTTCAGCGAACACAACTCAAAAATCATCCAACTGAGATACAAATCTTCTCCATCATCTCAATATTCACAATACTATATTAAACTAGATAGTTTATAAAGAATTGAGCTTCTTATTCTTTCTGAAATAACATCAGATAAAAATGATAACCAGGTAAAAACATAAAATACTCTTCCATACAAATACAAGTTATTGTATTATTTTATGAATTGAGAAAGAGAAGTATGTAAAAGTAGAAAAATAAACAAAAAGAAAACGTAACAATTGTCACGGTTACTAGTAAATATTCTCTTATTAAATAGTTCTGAACTAGTAAAACAAACTAACAAAAAAACCCAGTGATTATTAGACCAGAAAAAGTATCTTTCATCAATTGTTTATATCATTAAAGAGTATGAAATCTCGTAATAATTCATGCTTGTACAAATTGTCAAATCTCATATTAGAAGGGGTTTTGTGGATATTATAGTAATTTCAATGGTTGGGATCATGGGTCAATTGAAACTAGACAATCATGGGAAACTTGGAAGCACTGAACGTCCAACTCGTTTTATTGTGGGACTCCTCGGCAGTGCGCATGTACCATCTCGACTTGTGGGATTCGAACCCAGGACCTATCAGTCTCACGAGCGAGCGCTTAACCACTAGACCACTGAGCAAGCTGGCATCCAATGGTGTTAATGTCTAACTTCAATTAATCCAAAAAAATTAGCGACAAATCGATCATTGTCTTCAGTGAGCTACTATCTCATAACAGATCTGGTTCAACTCCACTGATCACTGCTTCCCACTGCGTTCGAATCTCGCGAGGCGGGATCGTGGATTCACACTGCTGAGGCATCCCACAATAGGACAAAACGGCCATCCAGTGCTTCCAGGTTTTCCATGGTGGTGTAGCTTCAATTGACTCATGATCTCAACCATTGAAAATCTCATATTAACAAAGCAAAGAAATTTCATACACATAATTCCCTTTATCATTTTGAAAAGAGCAAGAACAAACATTTTAGCAGAAAAGCATGAATTCACTTTTATTTCGTTTGGTTCTTGTCAGCTGCTTTACAACCTATGATATTTAAAAAAATCATAATTACATAATGGGTTTAAATTATTTTTCATGAAAGGGTTTGGTTTGAAGTTATATTGAAGGCATATGAGTATAGTATAGCACCCTTGTTATACTATTCTCAAATGTCTTCAATATAACTTCAAACCGAACCCTTTCATGTTGTAAGCAGCTAACAACAACCAAACGAAATAACATGAATTCACACTATTCTGCTAGAATCTTTTGTTCTTCCTCTTTTCAAAACAAAGAAAATTGATAATATGAGAAGTAAATGAGTTTAAATAGTAAGATCAATGATATAGGCAAACTAAACATAAAGATTATAATCAGAAGGGGTCTTGTGGAGATTTTAGAAATTTCACTGATTGAAGTCATGAGCCAATTGAAGCCAGACCACCATGGAAAACCTGGAAGTACTGGACGGCCGTTTAGTCCTAGTATGGAACTCCTCAGCAGTGCGCATCTACGATTCTGCACGCGGGATTCGAAACCAGAACTTTCGGTCTCGCGCATGAACGCTTAACCTCTAGACCAGTGAGCCGGTATCTAACGGTGTTAATGTTTAACTTAAACCAATCCACGACATGGCGCGATTATCGATTCATGAAGTCAATCAAAACTCAACAAACTGCACAATCCTGTACTAATAATTATCATGTGCTCACTAGTGAATAGCTTCCGGAGGTAATTCATGGAGTTCTAGTGAGAAGCCGTGACCAGTGGAGCTAATCCGTATCGGGTGTGAGGAAGTTACCCACCGAAGACAATATAAGTTAGTTAGCTTAACCACTAGACCACTGAGCCAGCCGGCATCCAACGATGCTAATGTCTAACTTCAATTAATACAAGAAATTGAGCGACACATCCATCATCGTCTTCAGTGAGTTACTATCTCACAACAGACCTGGTTCAACTCCACTGCTTCCCACTGCGTCCGAATCTCGCGAGGTGGGATCGTGGATGCGCACTGCTGAGGAGTCCCATACTGGGACGAAACGGCCATCCAGTGCTTCCAGGTTTTCCATGGCGGTCTAGCTTCAATTGACTCATGATTTCAATGTGTAAAATAAAAATTATAATTTAAAAAGAAAGATCAAACAAAATCAGACGATAAACTATATAAAATAATATTTAGATGAGACATAAAAAAAATAAATGGATTAATGCCAGTGCAATCACTGTCAAGACATCGTATTTAATCTAATTAACTATAAATTGAGGTTATCATAATAAACAATTAATAAGAAGTCCAAACCACCCACTTAACCACCCCCATATACTCAATTCAATAGTCAGTACATTTATTGACTGATTCTGAGTTTTTGTCTGATTGGAACTATATTTTTTATCTAATTAATTCCATTGATACCCAACATAGGGTATCCCAGTAGGTTATGACTAAAAATGTATAACGTATATTTCAATACTCTCTATGGATATAAGTTTAAGATCCCATCAAATGATATTTCATCTATCAGAAATAAGTACCCAATTTGGTGATGATTTCTATCCTTTATTGACTTTTCGAACGCATTAGAATACAGTTTAACCTTTTCGTTCATTTCATTCAGATCTATTGACTGACCATATATAAAAAATGATGTGTAACTTATCATATTGTGAATGTCATTTCATTAGTAGTTGGTGAATAAATCAATTCAGATGGTGGAGAAAATTTGCAGCTCAGGTAGATGATTTTGATGGAGTTTTGTTCTCTGAGCTGGATGGTCTGACCGTGTAATTTCCAAATGTTCTAACTTGAGTGTCCTTTGTAGCTTCGTCTTTTGGTCTTCTATGATGTGTTGGTATTTACGGATTCTGTAGTGTGCGACCAAATCATCCAGCTCAGAGAACAAAACTCCATCAAAATAAATCAGTTCATTTTTTCAGTCTTGTTTTCGCTATGTAATTGATTTAGCAGTCTTATTCTACTGCATTATACAGAAGAGAGAAGTATTTTATAGTCATAGCAGTATCAAATAGCAATAATCTCCATTTAGTTTCCGGTCATAATGTGGATGTATTGTAGTGAACAGAACACGGGTGGGGACAATCGGATGTATTTAACACAAAATTAGAGGACTCGTCAATAAGATCTAACAATCATGAAGTAAATGTTTGATTTGCAAAATGTCCATCAATTGTCTCATAATGACTCAGACTTTATTGTTCTTGCATTTTCATACAAATTTCATTCTGTTTCCATTCTTTACTGTTCGATCCTCTTGTCTCTCTGCTGTCAAACATTCTATTCACGACTAACACCATATACTACTTATGTCAATATAAGTAGTACACACCACAATATTATTCTTGTTTCAAGATATCGTTCTAGCTCTCCTTAATATTCTATGCCAAACTTCAAAATGATCCACTTATCATATATAAACTGAATTAAGAAAATATTAGTATTAAAAAGTTATAAAAAAAAGTTATTTGATCTGACTCACTTGTGTTGCTAATTGTTTATTATCACTAAATATAATAGATTTTCGAATAGGTGGTAAATCTTCATTGTCATATTTCAAACATTTTTCTTCTAATTCTTCATCATTCGTTTCGAATTGTTTTCCTGGAAGTGATTTCTTTTTTGATCTTTTCAATAAATAATAATCAATTTCTGAATTCTGATCATCGTCATCAATTTCTTCATTGAACGTCTTTACTTCATTAAGCCAAATCTATATTCGTATGTAATTTATTTGAATAAAAAGTTTGAGAGAATTAGATAACTATGATTTTTTTGATGGTAAAATCTAGATAGTTAGATAACTTTAGATAAATTTAAAGTTGCACTGATTGAAATCACGAGTCAATTGAAGCTATACATTTCCTGAAGTTCTAGTGAGAAGCCGTTACCAGTGGAGTTCAACCAGGTCAGTTGTGAGATATCAACTCACTGAAGACAATGGTGTACGGTGGCGCAACTTCGTGGATTGGTTGAAGTTAGACATTAACACTGTTGGATGCCGGCTCAGTGGTCTAGAGATTAAGCGCCTGGCGCGAGACTGGTAGGTCCTGAGTTCGAATCTCGTGGGGTGCGGGGTCGTGGGAGCACACTGTTGAGGAGTCTCATACTAGGACGAAACGGCCGTCCAGTACTTCCAGGTCTTCCATGGTGGTCTAGCTTCAATTGACTCATGATTTCAGTCAGTGAAATTTCTAAAATCTCCACAAAACCCCTCCTGATAAATTTAAAGTTCGTTTTCATTATAAAGTATTACAAGTCAGAGAATCGTTGAAAATCAGAGGATTAAACAAAACTGGTTTGTTGAAACCTTACAATTTATTTTTTGAACTGTTCGACCATGACTATTCATTGAATTAAACTCAGTAGCTTCAGCTTTTCTGATGAGGTTTATGCTGTTGAATTATGGTATCAAAATTTAATTTCTTTTGCTTTAAACTTTAGTTCTCTAAATATCACAACCTTCATCTAATATTATTGATACGCTATTACACTACTCTTGATATGGTTAACTCTGTAAGTCAATAGGGAATACCAAAATAAAGTTAAACATGGGGCTCATGCCCTGAGTTCTGGCGCTAATGGCAGTTTACACTCTAGTCAATATGTAAATATACATCGCATATTTATAAACTTATTCGAAAGAACTTTATTCTTTTGGAAAATATTTAGTTTACTAACGCAAAAAACAAAAACAATTCAAAACTACAAATACATACGGTTAACTGGCTTAGTTTTTATTCTAATCCAAAAAAAAGAGAAAACTAGAGATATTTAAGATGCAAGTGGGATATTCAATGTTCTTTTATGAACAATAAGTAACATTCTAGTGTAATGGATGAATTGCAATGATGAAAGATACGCTTTAAAGTATGCATGCTAGTCTCATTGTAGGAAAATAGAAACGAAGCATTGAAATGTATAGTTCTTAGCTATAGTGTTAAGTCATGTTAGTTTCACGAAGAGCATGATATTCTTGAACTCACACAACTAACTTCCAAATGATCAAATTTCTGAGTTCAATTTCACAATCAATTCAAAAATGTTAATCAATAACTAGAATCCAGTTGTTTTTCTCATATAATTTGTAAATATATCAAATGTTGACAACACTGAAATACAATAAAACTGTTTACTGACAAAATAGTTTATGATAAGGCAATGTATCATAAATAAGGGAACATATTGCCAGTTGTTTTTTTTCTCCTATTCATTCAAACAATTTGAATTGGAAAATAAGATAAAGCGTTGTTACACAAACTTCTATTTTGACTATAATTTAATTAATATCAGATGAGTTTTGTGGATATTATAGTAATTTCAATGGTTAAGATCATGAGTCAGTTGAAGCTAGACCACCATGGAAAACCTGGAAACACTGGACGACCGTTTCATCCTATTGTCAGTTTCATTACTTGAATTATGTGTTGATGATATTGTCCAGAAAGACAATAAAAGGTTCACAATTTTTGTCATCCAGTTCAAAGAATCTAAAATAAATGAAATTTCTCAATTATCATTACTAGACATTAATACAGGTATACGAGGTAAAATGAAGTTAAGAACTTCCTGTAGTTATGATTGTATAATATTGATAAAAGATATTTCAAATTACATACTTAACTTTGTTGTCATGAGACTATATATGAAAATCAATAGGTTATCTAGATAGACTAAAGGTAAGCCATAAGAAAGAAAAAAAATAATATAGTGATTTCAGTAGTTGAGATCATGAGTCAATTGAACCTAGACCACCATAGAAAACCTGGAAGCACTGTACGGCTGTTCCGTCCTATTGTAGGTCCTGGGTTCGAATCCCCGCCAGGCGGGGTCGTGGATGCGCACTGCTAGGGAGTCCCGCAATAGGACGAAATGGCCGTCCAGTGTTTCCAGGTTTTCCATGGTTGTCTAGCTTCAAGTGACTCATGATTTTAACCATTGAAATTACTATAATTTAACTATTAGATCACCTGAAAATCTTCTTCAATTTGTTGTCTTTCTTCTTTATCCAACTGTGTGATTTTTATTGGTTCTATCGCTTTCCGTAATACTCGGCTATAAATAAAAGATAACATAATCATGATTCAAGATTCCATTATGAATGAATTTGAGATTCTAAACATTTATCTCTTCTAAATTATTTTCATAGTATACGTTCTAGTAGTATTCAAATTTCTTGATGATTATTAATAATGGATAACTAGTCATATTTTGAACTCTACATAACAGGTTGTTTTTTTACAGTTATGAAAATCAAAAAGTATTTATATTGGTACTTCAATCTAAATTTAACCGCATATTTGATTATAATAAAATGAATTTTGCATTTCTAATTGCAATAAACAATCATATGATTGAAATTTGATAGTTCTATCAAATTTTTGGTAGAATGTGGGAAATAATAATAAAACGTTGATTCTAAAGTCTTGGATTTCCATATATCATAACTAGAACTTTCAAGTTTTTTCGCAAAGTACTTTTGTTATCAAATTGAACATAAAACCTCGTCTTGATAAGAATATTTTGCTTGTCAGTACTAATACTTACTTCAAATGGAAATTGATACTTTTGTGGAATTTATCAAAGATATTGTAAGCTATTGAGTAAGGAACTGAAGACGTTTTTAGCAAGAAAAGTTCTGTAAACAAAGGTTAATAAAGTAATCTAGCCACTGGTAGAAATACTAAAATATAAAATATTCTTTATCATTTTGTATGACAGTTTTTCACTGAAAAATTATCCTTAATATTTACCATGCAATGCTAGTAAAATTTTCTAATTAACATTCTTCGTGTAGTTGCTTAGTGGTAATTACATTTCTACACTGAAAACAGTCATATTCAAAACATCAACTTATGATACACATATACCTATATTCATTGTATGTTTACATAAGTAAATTAATAGGCAGATTCTTATACGACATTTATTGTCTATTGGCGAATAATAATAGTAATAGTATTCAAAACTAAAAGTGCTTGAGTACTCTTAATCCAACTACTAAATCCCTTCTGGCTCTAACTAAATATACATTTTTGCCGTTTGTGTATGCTGCAATTCAAGAACAAAAAGTCACTTATATTTTACCAAAACAGTTATGTAGGCTTTGTTGTACAAATATGAGTCGTTTGCAACTTAATGATATTAAATGATTAAAACATTCTACTCAACTCTTTATCCGAGTAGAACTTTTCAAAATATAGGACAAAAAACGCTAATATAAATAACAGAGCAAATATAGATCAGAAAATTAATCAGATGTAGAGTCTGAAAATGTTTCAATGCATTTGAGCAAATCCATAGACCTCAGAAAGCTGGTAACTAAAGTGAGTTTCTTGTTCTAAGGTCCCAGTTGTGATCGCTTCTGTGATGCTCTCGCGAAAACAAGATTAAGGGATTTTTTTAACAAGATTTTGGTTTCTGAAATATGAACTCGGTAGCTTTCGTAGTTTGATCGGCTATTGCAGTGTAAGACTATAAACACCATGTTTCGGAGATGGTCTCCATAATACAATGTTTTTGATAACATACAATGAAACGGTATCCATTTTCAAGAACATATACTATTCTTACAGATCAAGATTATAAATGAAAAAGCTAATAAAGAATCAACATTCACTTAATTTGCATATGCCATGTTTTTATCAATAGTTTGTTTACCACGATAAGGTCTACGCTATTTTTCACCTTAATCCATCCTCTGTATTTTTTAGATAAAGTGACGGTTATTGTGTATGCTTGAAATATTAACTATTCCAAAAGTTTGTGGGACATGTTTGGGTTTCAGGTTGTGACCCTGAAATACGAAGGTAACCTAACTCGGTGAGAATTAGCCAAACGCTAGTTTTTGATGCCGCGCTTCAAGCATATACTAATATTTCCTATGTAGTGGGTAGCCAGTAAGTAGACCTGATATCGAGATTTTCGTCATCACGTAAATTTACGAATACATTGGAACCAAATTACATTTGCGTCACTGAGTTTATTACCACTGCTCATACCTGACTTAGTGAAACTAATAAATAACAGAGACAATACTTTTCAACTGGTTGTATACAATGGTGGCAAACAACTGGTACTCTGAGATGACATAGTGATAGTAATGAAATGGGCATCAAAAGCCACCAACACACACTTATCAATTATGTGTTACAAAGAATTGAAGAGCTATGTAAATAATCGGTTTACAAGAGATGAAGGTATTGGAAAATAAAGAAGAATATTGGGAAGTCGGAGAGCATCTAACTTTTGTGAAGTAATTTAGGCAATATGTCGTGCAAGTTTCTATGCATCAGCCCTACTGACCTGTTTGGATGTAACTTTTTGACCTTTTCTTCACAAAATGATTCAAGTTCAGCATAACGTCCGACTTCACCAGACCTGAAATTATGACATATGTAACACTGGTCAATACCTCAAAGTTTTCAATATTTTCTCCAATTCATATGGGTCATTGCAAGAATCAAGATATTTAAAGTCCAAATGTGATATAGGAATATCATAGGTTTTTGTTCTTTCGCTAAAGTAAACACTATCACTCATTGATAGGATAAATTGGAGTCAAACAACTGCTGTTTTCAGTAATTAGCACGTTTAAGCAATAAAACAAATCATCCTATACTTTAAGTCATTAGTAGTAAATATGAAAGAATTGCCCATTTGAGGTACGTTTTCGGGTAATGGTTTCTCTGAATGTTCTATTTTCTGCCATAAATGTCGACTCATGTGCTTATATTATCAGTTCAGACAAAATATTCCAACAGCTGACTGACTTACTGATGCCTGTTTCGGAAAAAAGATTATGCCCTTCCACACAGTTTACAAAAGTCATCCGAATAATCTTTCCCATTAGTTCGACAACTACATTGATTAAACTAACGGATTGGTAGTTATTAACCAAGTCTCTGCTCCCCGTCTTATACATTGAAATGATTACTGTATCTTTTCAGTCTCTTGGAAGTCTGGAATGCTTCAAAGATGTGTCAACCAGTATGGCTATAGGTTCTGCAATTACACCTGATTGGGCTTTCCCGATCCTACGTTGAATATCATCAGGACCACTGGATTTATCAGGTTTGAAATTGTGAAGTAGTCTTAAGGCAGTGTAACGGTAAATAAATCCCCAAAATAAATAGCTCTGTAGGTTCTCGACACTGGATACTGACCGCATTTTTTAATGGACTAACCTAACTGAAGGCGCTCGGTCATGCATCCGCACCAGATCACGAGTGGGAACGCCGTGCTCAACATCTACAGCAATCGCTAGCCAGATTAGATCAGGCGAATCTTGATATATTGACAGACTATCAAATATATCTTCGAACCTCCTCGCCTCTGTCTTTTGATTTCACTTGGTGGGTATGTTTCATATTAGAAGGTGTTACTGGTTGACGCGTTGTCAAACTGCGAATACCTGTGGCATCATCAGCAGTACCATTCTCAATAGCTACAGGGTCCATCAACAAGCCGCCGCAATCACAATTATTCGTTCAGTCGCTCCTCGTTGCTGATAGAAAACATTTTACTGAAATATCCCGATAAAGCTTCAACTTTTTCGACGTCATCTCTTATCTATATTAACGAATTTTCTTGTACCAAAAGTGGTGAAGTTCCATCATTTTTCTGAGTTCGCCTTTTCATATACGAGGATAACCGTTTTGCACCATTTTTACGATCTCTAACCAATCGCTTTTCATATGACCGTCTAGTCTTACTTATTAACGCCTTACGAGCATTCCTAGTCTTAATATAACTGGATATTTACTGTTCAGTAGAGATGAACAAATTTCAATGCATTTCCCTACGTCTAAGAAGTTTCCTGAGTTATTTAGTTATCCATGGTGGACAGTTATTCGGCCTACGTGGTACCAAGCATCGCATAAACGAGGACGTAACTGAACTAAGATTGCCTTTCAAATATAGAGCATGTTTCTTCAACTGATAAGGTAGTATCTAATGACCAATCTGTCTTAGCCGCGCACTCCTGAATGACCGATATGTTAGTTCTCTATATATCAGGGCGAGGTCTAACCTGATCGTATATCATGTCACTAGCTCTTGCCATGAATGGCAAAACAGTGTGATCGCTATTCATTAACGGTGAAAGAATACTTAGGTTAGCAACATCCTCAGTCGCATGATTGGTTACCAAGTCTAACAAAGAATAACCTTTGTTTGCTCTGAAACGTGTAGGTTTGGATACATGCTATTCTAATGCATGCTCCATAACCGTTATCAGAAACATCCCGAAAAAGGAGTTTATAGATCCCACCGTGGCCATGTACAACATCCAGTAGTCAGCTCACAGCTAATGGCTTCACAAGTTCTACTATCATGGGATTAACAAGCTAATGAGAGGATATTTACATAATTGGATATGTATAAAATGACTCCACCTCCTTTCTTACATCTATGTCTATCACTTCTTAGGTAACTGTATCCGGATAATTCTGGAGTAATGTCGAAGTCATGGATTGACCAAGTTTCTGCCACAGCCACAATGAGTGACTTTAACTTGTCCACTATCGCTCCTAACTCATCGAATTTACTTCTCAGACTACGAGTATTGGCACACAAAACTCCTAGTTAGACCGGCCTATCCACAAATTTTATAGGGCGTGGAACACTAATGTAGGATCTATTTGTAATCTAAGGAAACAGAAGGAGGTTTGGATGTCTGAAACACTTGCATATATTCTCACTAATATTCCTATAATATCGTTATTTCTGTTATACGACAATTAAGGTAGCCATTGTAAATAGTTACAACGGAGTAGTCGAAGCTAGGTATTAACCACGAGGTGTGACGTCAACGTAAGCTGAGAGGTAATGTCATTACTGTTCAACTGGAATATACTTGCAATTACCGACACATGTAGCGTGATGTCGAGTTGAGATTAACTATGAACACCGCTGCCAAAAAACACGTGCCAAGTAAATCAGAAGGCGAAGGTTGACGTAACCAAATAAATCCATAAAATCCCCGAGAAGCCAAATATCAGAAGGGAATTAATGGACCAAATCGAGATATATTCGCTGGCGATCTCGTGGTATCGAAAGGATACCGAGATCGTGCCAGGATACAAACTTGGTTACAGAACGTAACCGAATTCCCGCGAAGTCACAATCAAAGTGTAAGAATAAGAATAGAAGCACAATATAGCTGTCATTAGCACAGCCAAACAAAAGCACATTAAAAGAAACACTGGTACAGTTGGTTATAATAATAATTGTTTTTATTAAACCAGTCGTGTTCTCGTGATAAATGTACGTCACTACACACAGATCATCTACGTCTGTGGTCAACAAACACATCCAGTCGCGTCATTACCCACGTTAGAAGAGCCAAAATACTGACACACAGCGCAAAGATCCGTAAAGCTTTCGAACTTTATTTGTTTTGTGCTTTTTTCTTAATATACGCTTTTTTCATCATCATCAACCACGAGTAGACATTCAATCATCAAGGTCACTCAAGACGTCATTCAGTTAGAGGAAAGGTATAGTCTCATCTAGTTTTACACTAAATTACCCGTTTATCCAGTTGTTTGTGTATCTTCACGATCTAAGGTCTTAGATTTTCTGACATCTTAGGTCTGTCATCCAAATAATAGTTTGTCGGCTTGTGCTAGTCTTTATAACGGTGCTTTTGTAGCCACAGAATAGTTTATTATCTTGTTCTAGAAAACTTAACGATTAGTTTCACTTTTTGCAGAAAGTATTAATTAATAAAGTAAGCAATGTCGCATCCATTCTTTGGCATACTTTATAACATATTTTCAAAGTATATATATATATATATATATATATATATATATATATATAACTGCATATGCTGGTTAAAATACTTTGAATAAAAGTTTTTATGAAACGAGAATTATACTTTGAACATCTTGTCAATGCTGATATTTTTCCTTACAACCTGTGCACTCAACGCTTCTGAGATTGCCTAAACTTTGGGACTTTCGAATTTTGTCCGAAATTACCAGTATTCTGATTCATTCAGATGTTTATTATGATGGTTAAAAATATTCTTTGTCTATTGTCTTGACGTTTATGTCAGTCACCCAATGTGATGCAACGTAGAACCTGGTGCACATGCATGTAGGTTTATGTTGCCACACCCCATTAGTACAGAGAGATGACATTGTTAGTGCAAATTGCAGAATAGTAGAGGTGGTAAGTAGAATTTAGAAACCTGAGATCTAATGAACGACAAAGATTGGATGCCACTTCATCACTACAAACGATTCCGAGACGTCATGATAGGTCTCTACTCGTTCTCTGTGATAGTCCAGACCCAAATCAGGTAGTCCATCTTTTAACATAACACTCTTCATTTGTTAGCGACTTCATAGACTTGCACTACGTTTTAACTTAGCCACCCCTAGCTTCCAACCTACTCACACCAGACAACAAAGCCTGTCAAGGTAGGCGGTAATTGGGCATACGTAACATCTCCCAGCCACCTCAGTTAGTGAAGATTTACAACCTCACCAATCCATTTACCATCTTTACCTAGTGCCTTATCCCTGGCCCTGGCGTCACCTACTCGTTTGTCCTAAAGTATACAAGAAATTCTTCAGAGACACTTATAGTCGAACACTAGTTACCTACGGATGTCCCATATTCCTATTGATCATGTTTCACATCCATAAAATAAAACAGTGTGAATTGCTGCTGGATAAAGTGCATTCTCGGGACCTAACCTAGTGGCTACTTATCGAGGGTACTATGTAATCGTCCTTCTGTTTCAAAAAGTTATGGAAAATACAATGGTAACAGTTTTATCCTGGATTTGACTGAATACGATCGTTTTAGCGACATGACCTAGGAATGTCGGATTTAACCTTACGTAAAGTTTTATGCACTGACTGCTGAGTGACAAGGTGAGATTCAATGGATGTCCAGTGTACCCCAGTTTTCCCGAATTTTCCGACCGGTTTTACTTCATGATAAGATCAGACTTTAAATTAAACAATTTCCCATAAACACCGATTAAATCGATGTACTTGTTCCGGTATGTTTATCCTTTTCCTCCGGTATTATGCTCGTTTTATGGCATTTTTCTAAGTCCTATTGAGGAATGATAAGTTAAGCAACTTCATCCCGCTGCCATGAATCATTAAATCCCTATATTTTTTATTCATCTGACCAAATAAATATTGTTACAGAAGTATCTATACTACAATCTTACCCGAAGCCACTGATTATTTTATTCGATCGCTAACTATTGTTACGTTCCTCGATATATTTGATGCTCACATAAATTGTGAATAGAAACCCTACATTCACTTACTGCCTACCAAAATATAAACTTCCAGCATCCCACGTAATTAGACTAATTTGTTTGTCTCAATTTGTGATTCATTGGTCTCCTTGTTCATTAAGTATCAAATATTGGTTTAAGATCAACTTAAACTAAAGAGCTAAGTGGTATAGTTATCATATTTAAGTATGGGATCGTTCAAAAAATAATTTTAGTTGTTACGGGGTTATACTAGCTATACAATTATATATTTAAACAATATCAGTTTTTTTAG